TGTTTAGTATCTAGCCAATTCCTTGGTACTGAATGAATGCAGATGTAAATTTTGCCTAGCACCTGTTGTGTTCAATTTAAACCCAGCTGAGTATCGTAGAGAAACTGTTTGTCAAAGGATTTCCAAGAAAAGCGTGCTTACGGAAAATATGCCAAAATCTGATCTACCTTAAGTTGTCAGATAAGCCTGTACTTTTAGCTAAATATTGTTGTGATTCGAGCGAACGAGCGGAAACGACACCGTCTTCATTCTCCCGGTTACACTCTCAGCAAGCGGTATCAACAGGCGGAGAATGTGAAGAGTATGAAAGTGAGTTAAAACTAAAAATAAACCTGAGTGGGCTTTACTTGATTCTTGATAATTTAACAGTAAAATTAAATAGTCAGCTACAGAAAGCTACAGTAGTAAAATACCGTGATTCTATTCAGGATCTTTCGGTTCAGTTACCGTAACCCGTATTACAATAGTCCGTTACCGTAATCCGTTACGGTAGTCCATCACCTTAAACCGTTACCGTAATCCATTACCGTAAACCGTTACCGTAATCCGTTACCGTAATCCGTTACCGTAATCTGTTACCGTAATCCGCTACCGTAAACCGTTACCGTAAACCGTTACCGTAATCCATTACCGTAACTCGTTGCCGGAATCCGTTACCGTAGTCCAAGTAACTCAAATCGATAAGAAAATCTGCTTCAGCTCTTCAAATTATCATTTCAGATTGTCGCTTTTCTCGTTTGGTACTCGACTTTCAATAATTGCATTTTTGGCACATTATTTTTTCTACACAATGGAGATTTCTCTCGATCAACTCGAAATTTCCTAGGATCGTTGATTGATTTACATGCTGCACTGTAAGAAAAAGCTATTCGTTCTCTAAAACCTCTTTCAGTTATGCTTTCACAATGTGCTTTATGGGTTTCATCGTGAACAAACAAATGTTCAATTTGGTGAAAAGAATTGTGATGAAGAAATGGAAAGAAACCAGGTAAATATGAGTTCAAAAGTAACTAATAGAATTATCATTAAAAGGGAAAGATTGGCTAAAAAGTCGGAATTCCCAAGCCGTCTCCGATCCAAGTACTAACCGATCCCCGATCCAAGCCCAAGGCTGCTTAATTTGGCAGACGTGCTGCTTTCAACATGGGATGGTTGTAAGCGAGTCCATCGATGGGGAAAGACATCTCAAATACTCAGAGGAGAGATCCTTTTTGCCCTCAGAGACGCGAGACAACACGACTGTGTGTACCCTTCGTGTCTCTCGTAGGAAAAAGTGGCATTTGGTACATGGCCCCCACGGATAACGCGACAGAGACCCCACCCCTCGGTTTAATTACCCAAGTTTGAGGTTAGCATTAACCCCGAGACCTTCCAACAGTGTCTCGAAAAAATTTTGGAACGCGTTCCCGCTAGGGGATGCACAAATGAAGGCGAAATGTGGAATGAGTTGAAGCCTTGGTCCTTTATTTCATTTTTTTCGTGATTTATCAAGAAATGTCTCAACTCTCGACTTCATTTTCAGTTAAACGATTTCAGTTAAACAACAAGGGAAATCGTCCACTATATGGTGGAGAAAATTTTGAAAAATATGGGGACAAATGAACAAAAGTGTTAGTTAAGCTAAATCTTTCATTCTTTATTTATTTGTTTTTGTTTCCGTCCTTTAATGCCATAATGGTTTAACCTAAACGACCGATAGTGAGAAAAGATGGGCTAGTCATGTGATTAGTCATTCCTGATCAAACTATTGTTGATTAGGGGTAAAGGAAGTCCAAAACCACAGCACAGCTTAGTTACCGTACTTCCAAAGTTACTATAAATCCTTATCCCAAAAAAAACCAAAACTTGGGCTCGTCCGGGGATCGAACCCGGGACCTCTCGCACCCAAAGCGAGAATCATACCACTAGACCAACGAGCCTTGCGGTTCGGGCGGCTAAAAGGGGTGAACTTTCAGATGGTCAGAAAAAGCTAGCTTCGGCGAGAAGGAACTGTCAATTAGAGAAAAAGAGACTCCAAAAAACCAGTGAAAAGAATGCCTAGAATTTAGCTAAATCTTCAATTCTTGAAATTTCAAAAGTCGTCTAGTAAAGGAAGCACTCATTCCACAAGAATTACTCCAACAATAAAAGGAAAAGTTTCTTCTTCACAAGTTTCTTCTTTCTTCAAATTCTTCACAGAATAATTCACAGATGCCATAGGCTCAAATTTATTTGAATTTGAATTTGAAAGATGCTCTTATAATGATTAAAACCAATAGTTGAACTCTGAGTGCTTGATTTACAGTTTTAAAATCAAAACGACATTGCTATTTCCAGCTGGTGCTTTTGTCGTCATTATATCGCTCATCCGACTCGTGTTTTCGATGTTCATGGAAAGGTTAGAAATTTTAAAGACCGAAAAATTATCGGAAACGATTCTAAACCTCATTTTGTGACTTTAATTCATACTATTTGCTCAACAAAGAGCGCCGAACACCTGTGCATAGCCAAATTTTAGTGGAATACGTTGCAAAAATGAGAAAATTAATTGGATCAAAAATAAGCAACTTTTCAAGATACAAGAACTTTGATACAATCGATTTGAAATTCGAAAACGTGAACAAAATTTGTGCGTAGCTGCCCCAGCCAAATGCAATCAGTGCTACGCAGCTACGCAGAAAATTTGAGCCACGTTTTAGGCTCGTTATATCGAAGTTTTCGATCCCGAGCGATTCACCGTATCGAAGTTCGATTTTATTTAGCTTTTTACAGGTTTTGTATACGGGAGCCAATCAAAACGATTATTTTTCTCAACTCGAAGCTCAATGGACGATTCGATTACCCTCGATTTCAGAGGAATCAAAAGAAATAAAGTTTTAAAAACGTGTTGACGAGATTAGAAAAGCGAAATTAGCATTTTGGATACTTCTAGTAATTCTGGAGCTCCCGTATACAAAACGTAATACACGTGTGCACTTCGGTGTCATTTATTAGATTCATCAACCGCTTCGGCGTCAAGTGATGATTCTGAATATCTTGCAGATCGCATGTGTAAGCGGCGGCAATTCGCGAAATTAACTGCCCTATCAACTTTTGATGGTAGTTTAATTGACTACCATGGTCGTAACGGGTAACGGAGGATCAGGGTTTGACTCCGGAGAGGATGCCTGAGAAACGGCAACCACATCTAAGGAAGGCAGCAGGCGCGCAAGTTACCCACTCTCAATTCGAGGAGGTAGTGACAACAACTAACGTAAAAACTCTTTTATTCATCAATAATCACTGATTTCCGGGTCGGCCTTTAAATTTACTTGTCTGAACCAGTGATTAAAGCAGCCAAAGTGGAAAGAAATGACATTTTAGGTTGCAAAACTCGAGCTTTTGTTCTACAGTTCCTTGGTTTTTAACTCACTGCATGGACAGTATGAAAACGTCTTTCGGAATCCCAATTGCCCATTGGTGCATTAGGAGAAACCTAAAGTTCCAATTCTAACTTTTGAGTGTTTTGAGTCAAAGATTCGTTACAGATTGCATTTCCAAGAATAATCCGTACAAATTAGATGCAAGATTGCTCTATTGTTCCCAGTTTTTAAAAAGTTTCAAAAAGTATAACTATTTCCTTACTATTAGAGCTTATTTGAAAGCATTGTCTAACCAGTGACTCTAGCCTGTCTAACCCGTGACTCTAGCCTGTCTAACCAGTGACTCTAGTCTGTCTAACCCGTGACTCTAGCCTGTCTAACCAGTGACTCTAGCCTGTCTAACCAGTGACTCTAGTCTGTCTAACCCGTGACTCTAGCCTGTCTAACCAGTGACTCTAGCCTGTCTAACCAGTGACTCTAGCCTGTCTAACCAGTGACTCTAGCCTCATCTATCTTAAAGTTTTCGGGTTTTTCATTCGTAAGCCATGGTGACCAGTCTTGGTTAAGAACCCTGTTCCTTAGTTGGAAGGTCAAGGGTTCAATCGCGCCGGCTAGATTATTGGTTCTTTGTTCGGATATATGTGGGTTTTTCCCATATACAGGGTGTCCGAAAAAAGTGGTTACCGGTTTAAGTCTGGAAAAATTTTCTTGTTGGTTTTTCAAGGCTCATCGTGGTGTCAGAATTGGCTTTCCCTCAGGCGCCACACAACAAGATGGAGTTGATTTTTTTGATGATTTTGTGAATAGGGCCGGGGAGCTCAAAATCCACGTATACATGAAAAACACACTTTTCAATTCTTCTATCTCCCCAAAAAGCTTTCCACTTTTTGCTTGCTTTGTTCTTTTAATGTTCTAGCCACAATTTCAATTTGCATTGTTGGATTGGCTGTTGCATAAATCTTCAAAATATGGTTAATTTTTAAATGAGAGAACCCTCTTGTTGCTGCTTTCCCCGGACCGACTTTTTGGGGACTCTTATTTTCAAGTTCCTAATATCAAAACAAATAACAAACAAAACAAAACAATCAAAATAAATTTATAGAAAAAAAAGTAGAAAGATTTGTGGTGTAATAGAGAAATCCAAAATCATGTTTTTCATGTATTGATTTCATGTATCCTACGAAATCAATGCATGAAATCAACGTGGATTTTGTGGATTACGTGGATTTTGAGCTCCCCGGCCGATGCATGGTTCACAAAATCATCAAACAAATCAACTTCGTCTTCTTGTGTGACGCCTGAGGCAAAACCAATTCTGAAACTACGATGAGCCTTGAAAAATCAACGAGAAAACTTTTTCAGACTCAAATCGATGACCACTTTTTTTCGGACACCCTGTATATATGGTGTTTAAAATCAAATTATATTTTAGGCTATTTTTATCAGATCAACTATATGCTTATTTTTAAGCAACAAGGTTCTTTAGATAAAACCGACTGGGTTTGACTAGCCTAATACTCCCAAAGATTAGTTCTAATGCAAACTTTTCAGGTCAAGTCGAATCAGCTTAAAATATAGGGCAAAGCTTTGGCTTTTGGGGCAGCTTTTGCAAAATAGCTCAATCTGAAAACCGTTTTCCTAATTAAAACTAACGCTTATCTGCCGAATTTGCCAGAAGGAAGTCCAAAATCACAGCACAGCTTAGTTACCGGACTTCCAAAGTTACTATAAATCCTTTTCCCAAAAAAACCAAAATTTGGGCTCGTCCGGGGATCGAACCCGGGACCTCTCGCACCCAAAGCGAGAATCATACCACTAGACCAACGAGCCTTGGGGTTAGGCGGCTAAAACAGGGGTGATCTTCCGGACGCTCGGAAAAAGCTGGCTTCGGCGAGAAGGAACTGTCAATTAAAGAAAAAGAGAGACTCTAAAAAAAACGCGAGCAGTGGAAGGGAGCAGGTTAGTGGCCTAGCCTACTCCAACTTGATCAACCTGCCAAATCCCTGGTTAAGAACATTTTCTTGTAAGCTATCGTCTATTAGAGTAGATTTTCTTGTAAACTATTGTAAAGTGTTTTACATGCTCAAAAATTTTGGCCATTTTTTTGAATGCAAATTTGGTTCTAATATGCAAATTAGTATTCCTATTTGACACATTTTCTTCAGAAATTTTTCTACAAAACTTTAAAACCAAGTTATTGTAAAATTCAGAGGTGGATTTAGATTTATGTGGATCAGCGAGCTTTAGTGAGACTTTTAAAACCTTCTCTTTTCAACTTTTCCTTGATCGTTGTGCAGAAATTTCCTTTCTGTTAGAATCAAAAATGAAAGAGCAATCAGCAATCGAAGACGATTATCCAAACATTTTTTGTCACTTCCAAACAGTCGACATTCACGACTTTTAGATTTGAAGTTCTTGATTTTATGTCTATAATGTCCTTTTCTCTCAGCTAGCTTTTCTGGGAAAGAAGCACTTTCCATCTTTCTAACCACTCCCACTAGATTTATCGTGTATTGGTTAAAGCTTTTTACAACGATATTGCTATTTTCCCAGAAGCGAACCCGGGTCGCCCGAGTGCCAGCATTTTACCACTGAACAATCTTGCCCCCAACCTCCAACTTTTCCACGTCACAAAGTAACGCTGAACGCAACTTTAGAAGAAATACTTCAGCAGACTCTTGAAATTCACATAGTCATCACTCTCAACGCAACTTGAAAGAGCAATCAGTAATGTCAATAGAAATGATCAGAAAATCATTTAAATTCTGATGTTTTAGAATGCCAGTACGTTCCAATCTATCAGAGGAAAGCAAAGAGCGAGCATTCAATTCTACTGAACACTTCTACTGTGTGTACTTCAATTGTACGCTGGCAGCATTCAACTTTCTTTGTTCCTTTCAACAATGCAAACGCACCGACGCCAGCGTCTCAGTGATGCTGGTTTCAAAGTTGAGGTGCAGAAGCCGAAATGCCGGAAGACTCAGTCGTGGTTTTGAGTGCAATTAGAGCAACGGTGCGCTTCGTGGTTGCTAGTGCCAATCCCGAACAGGAATCCGAACCGGATTGGACCTCCACTGAACACTAGACCATCCAAATCACCGTCACACTGAAAATTTAGAGCAAGCTTTCATAGCTTTTACAAAGTGAGTACAAGCAATTCAAAGCAAACTTGCAAACTTTTGCGAGCGCTGATTCGAGATAAACCGTGACTCGACTACCGTAACTTTAACCCAATCCGTCTACCGTAACTTTAGACCACTTTACCCTAGCTATAAATCCTTTAACTTCCTTTCCTTTATAGTCCTTTAGAGGGAGTCGTACATCCTTTAACTTAGAGTACAAATATCAAATCCATTTGGATAACGTTTCAAGCGTTCAGGCCGGATTACGGTAGTCCTTTTTAGCCAGTTTAGCCGGATTACGGTAGTTGGGCATGTTTTAGAACAAATATTTGTCTATTTTTCAAGTTTTTCTCCTTTTCAGCTTTGGAAACCGTTGTACTTGCGAATCGTGGGCGTCGCGATTTTCATCTTCGGCTTTAGCCTGTCTGGACAAAATCTCTTCCTCAGCAAATATTATGTCCTGCCCCCAGATGGACTAGCACTTGACAATTCTGATCTTTTACCGGTAAAACTTTAAATTCTTTTGGATTCTAAATCTTTTTAGTATGTGCAAGTCTCAATAATCGCTATGAATCGTCTCAGTCACACTTATCCATTTGTGTCATTAGCGTTGAATATCGGGATCTTTTCTAGATTGATTTACATGAGAATGAAAGGAAGAAAGTGGGGATTTAAACTTTTAGACGTATTGAAAGTAAAGTTTTTTTAAAAGACTTTCGTTTATCTCTTAGAAAAACATTTTTACAGTGTTGGTACCGGGAAATCGATCGAGATCAATCTTTTGATTATTTGCTTAGCGGGTCTCTTTGTTCAATTTGCGCTCATGATTTTTGTGGTTGGTTTTCAAAAAGAAATAAATTATCAAAGCTTTCGGATTTTGATTTTCATAACATTTTAATTCATTTGTCCATTTTTATTCTTGGTAGCCTCGATAAATCATCCGAAACATAAGCCCCATTTCAGGCCTTCGACACCATGGCTCGTTGGTCTAGTGGTATGATTCTCGCTTTGGGTGCGAGAGGTCCCGGGTTCGATCCCCGGACGAGCCCGATTGTTTTTTTCGAAAAAGGCTATTTGCATTACTTAATTTATTAGAAAGTAATATATTTAAGAGCAAGATTTAATATTTAATTCAAATGATTGAAATCTTTAGGACTACTCGAGCTACTTCTTTCCCGATCCAGTGCTCGGCTCACTGATGGTGGGTAATAGATCTATTCATTTTAGGCCTACAACGTTCATTGTCAATAGGTGTACAACGGAAAAACGAGATTTGGCCACTTCAATGGCTACTTTTTCGGGATTTCTTTCTACATAAAGGTCTAGTTTTCCAAGCTCAATCTTTTGGCCGGAAGAGGTAGCCATTGAATGTGTTAAAATCTCACTTTTCCATCGTAGATCTGTTGACAATTAGGCCAAAAAAGAGCAGCTCTAGTGGATAAATGAACTGCTTGAACTGCTTGAGAGATTTCTTCTTTTCTAGTTGAATGTCGTTTCCGATTTGTCGACATTGAGTGAAGCTTATATTGGATTAACGGTTAACAGTACGTTGAGACGAAAATTGTTCTCAATGTTTTTCCCCCTTTCATCGATACTCACTTCGGACAGCACAAACGCATTCCAACAATCGAATAAAAACTCGCAAATAATTGTGAGAATATAAATTTTCTTTTACTTTCACTTGAAAAGTTCAACAATTCTGCAATTCTTTTTACAATTCCATTACTGGAATACCCAATAGACATTCAAAATGAGTTCAAAAATGAATTTTTTTCGTCATCAGACTCACAGAGTCATCAGAATTTTTTCGAGATTTCAATTTTATCGTTTAACTAGCGTAGTTTACAACAAAAGTTTAATCTTGGCATTTCAGCATTTCAGCCAATATTTCAGTATTGGTTTTAAGACTGGACTGCACAAATAAAAGTATGACTTGTATACGCTTAGCTTTACGAGATTTATGTGTCCATTGTTACCTACTTTTGTAATGTTAAAGCTCGTCATTGCTTTGGTTTACTGTTGAATGGGCACGCTTTAGCACGACAAAAATGGGTGACCAATTGGGGTATACTAAGATAGCTATGGAAAATAGATTTTTCCAAATTTGCCTACCCTAGTTACACAGATAGACTCAAAATTACGTTGGTCGATAAATCTTTGAACACTTTCTTATAAATCTGTTTCGAAATGAAAAGTCAGGCAACCAATCCCTCTTTTTCGAGTTTTATTCAAAGTGAATCCAGGTTAGTTCGAGGAGAGGTTTTTTGTTTTACCTTTTACCCTGTTTTTTATGTCACCTCAATTTTGTGTGAACCTTTTCCAACTAAGAAATTGCCAGAATTTGGAAACCACTCCCCAGAGTTTTGAGAGAGTCCAATAGTTTCGAAACCTTTAAATTATCTGTAGATGATCTTGATCTTGAAGCCTAGCGGATCCATGATTATGTGCTACCCAGACATTAAACATAATATAACGTGTTCTTTTTATCGGCCCTTTTGTGTTACGCGTGTGAATACAAGTGTTGTTAACCTTAAATCAAGCGCACTTTATCTCAGTCTGAAAAAAAGTATCAATATAACTTTTGATTGCCTTATAAATCAGTTGGTCAATCAATCAATTTGAACGCTTCGTTATGAACCTGTTTATAAGAAATCCCGTCGTTCATACCGTCCTATCCCGTCGACTACGACGGCTTAGTATCTGGTAGAGTTTTTCACGCTGATTCCGAATCCAGTTTTAACTTTCCCGGAAGACTCTTTCCTTTAGTTCTAAATCATTTGGCTTGCCAACCACTTCAACTGTCTTGCTAAATATTGCTTTCAGATACCGTAATCTTCACCATTTGCTAAAATACACTTCCGATATTGTAGTTCTTCAAATTTACCTAAAACTTGGTGTTTTTAAATGCTCATTAGTCAAAAGTTTCCTCAAAACAAATTAGAAAAACGATTTTGAAGTGGGGGCAAAAGTGAATCACAGCTTTCAGTTAAATGTTAAATGTTAACCAAAAACATTTGAGTACAGCAATGTACTTATAAAAAGCTCGCTTATAGTTTCCAAATTATATTCCGCGTCAAAAATTCTTGTAGCAAAGCACCTGTTTCAGGGGTTTTTTTCCCCGTCCTCACCCACTTGTCTGCTGTTTTGAAATTTTGTGTTTTAATGTTTAAATTAAAGTTGTCACAGGCTAAACCCTGGGGAGTTGGATGAAATGAATCCCGTTTTCTAATCATTTCTTGCAATCATTCTAGACAATATTGCTTATGCAATTTGCCTGTTTGAATCATTTTCTTTTAGATTCTTTTGGAACCTAAGTATTGATATCATTAAAATCCATGATTTCCATCGTTAGTGCCGCTTTAAATCACACTGTAAAGCTTGCAACTCGTATGCTGCTCATTTATGTAAAAATGTAAATATAAGATGCAAAAAGCCTATTAGTTAAAGTAAACAAGTTGTACAAAGCGTTTTCAATTTATTCGGGAGCAAAGAGTGCACTCAAATTGGTTAAAAAGACACTGGGAATTTGAGATTTTGGCAAAAAAATCATCAAAATCTTAAATCCAATCTAGTCCGATGAATTCCAATATGAAAAAAGGATGAAAGTTTGTCTGAGGAGCTCATTTTATAATATAGAGAAGATATATTTTTTTTTCAACGATCAGAAATTTGCATAGAACTCATTGCCTGAAGCAAGCTGGCTAACAACTACTGTAGTAAAGCAAACATTCAAACTGTATAAAGCTTTAGAATAGCTTTCTAGCTTTCGATGCAAATTTCTGATCGTCGAAAAACTAAGTATTTTCCAGAATATTTTTAGAATAGCTAGGTTCTAAGTTTGAGCATTTGAGCAAACATGTTATAGTGATTGCCAGGATAAGTTAAGCTCAACTGAACCTGGATTAGGCTCAAGTCAGATCCAGGAGACCCAGGTTTTGGACTGGTCTAGTCCACAAAGGCTTTTGGAGCCCAGAAGTTAGCCTTGAACCTGTCCTAGCTTGGCTTAAAACCTTAGAACTCGGTTGTAACATTTCTGATTAGAACATTCGCGACGATACGGTCTTACTTGGATTTAGCACTTTTTTTCAAGCCAATTAAACTAAACTGAAAATTTGCAATTAGGGGTTTTCGAGGGTAAGGAATTCGAATTTGTTCTTAGTTTTTAAAGAAAACTGCTCAATTTTTTGATATTTCATCCGGTTAAATTACCCAAGTTTTTAGAGTTTTGTGATGACCTTATTGTCTTGGGAATTAAAGTTGTTCAAAAACTCATAATAAAAACTCTTTGTTGCTCAGGGGTAAAGTAAGTCCAAAATTGCAGTGCATCTTAGTTACCGTATACCTAAAGTTACTATAAAGCTTTTTTCGAAAAAAATCAAAACTTGGGCTCGTCCGGGGATTGAACCCGGGACCTCTCGCACCCAAAGCGAGAATCATACCACTAGACCAACGAGCCGTCTTGATGGCCTTAACTGAAATCGGGGTTAATATCAACCCAGGGAGTTTTCCGTCGTCTAATCTTGAAACTAAAGCAATGTTTTCGAATACCCAGGCAACAATCAAAAGTCATAGCACAGTAAATACGAGTTCTCTTCGTCATTTGAAATGCCGAAATCATTGAAAATCATTGAAAATTCTCACCTGTTTCCCCCAAGAGATACCATAATTTTAATTCCAAGGATCACGAATCACTCTTCCGTGTTCTCTCGAAAAACTTGGCCTTAAAAACCCTGACACCAAAACGGTTTAGTCATTCACGATGGAACTCCAATTCGTTATCTATTGCCTTTATGGAATCCCGTCAGCCATTCTCAATTTCATGTTGATCATCTGCATTTGGAAGAGCAAAACATTGCTGAAAAGTTCTTTTTATCGAGTCTACTTGTTTGTGTTGCTTGTGGTAAGAAGTCGTACTTTATGCCCCAGTAAACGCAAACTCTCTGGCAAAAAGCAGTTGAAGAGGACTATGACTGCGCCAGATAATGTACGTTTAATAAGGTGCAAAGGATGGATTGACTTAATCGATCGACTTAAACGATCAGTACTTTGTGCACACTCTCTGGCGCACTCATTGTCAAACTCTTTCTTCTTGACACTCTGAAGATCTATAGAGAGCGAAAATCCAGTGTGCCAAGGGGTTTGCGTTTGCTAAAGCACAACCAAAGCACTTTCTATTCACAAAACTGCTGACAATAGACTTAAGCAAGATTTCCTAACTCTTAACAATGTTTAAAATTTATTTAAGTACATGGTCACCTACATCAACACATATCCAACAGTGAAATTGCCCGAGCTATCTGCACTTGGCAGTATTTTAGCCGGAATTGAGAGCTATTTCCCGCCATTTCGTGCCTGTTACATGTTCCAACTTGGCGCCTTTCATATACAAAACTGTGCATTGATTCTCATGCATTTAAATCGTTTAACGAGCGTCTGGATGCCGATCATGCACAATCAGGTTGATGCTTTTTTCAAACTTGGTTTCTATGCATGTTAAATTCTATGTTAAATTGGTTTCTATGCAAATTTCATAGAGTTAAGTTGAGCGTGATCTGGTGCTAGGGGAAAAAAGCAGGTGAAAACTGAAAATAATTCCGAAAATAGCTGTGGCGCCTGATCTGGTCTAAAATAGAGTAATGGTTGAAATAAAGTAATGCCTTTTTAACACATGCTTTTTTAACAGACGACCGCGTGGCTCAATGCTGAGTCATGGCTGTTTCTCGTGAATGGCTTGACCAAATGAGCTCAAAATCTGCAAGAGCATGTAATTCTGGGTCCTCTTTCCGAATCTAACGTTAGTTTTGTTAGGAAGTTGTGTGAGTTTTTGTAAAAAGCGGAAAAAACAGTGTTACCTTGGATTGATTTAGACTAGATTTATTGGTCTAAGGCGCGGCCAATCTGAGGCTCAAATAGAGTTGTTAGTTCGACGCAAGAACGTTTTGCAAAAATATTTTCTAATAGTTTCAGATTATTTAATGGAGTAGCTACAAAAATCAAGTGTTAGATCACAAAGAAGTTTGAAAAATGAGTGTTTTTGAATCTTCTAAAAAAAGCTTTTTGTAAAGGAATCCAAATCGGCCGTTTTGTCAAAGAAGCGCTGTCGTCAATACGTTTAAATTGTTATTCTTCACATTATCACAACCCGTTGATGTACTTGATTTATCTTTAAGCTTAAGAAGTGTAAACGCACCTTTTCTGGTGCACTCATTTTGTCACTTTAAGGGTGTTTTCATCATTTTTGAGCAGTACATTCTACAGAATTCGTGAAAAGTCTTGACGGCATCAAAAGAAGGCCGCTTATATCAAAATTGAAAAAAGCTAGAACAAAACGGATTTCTGATTCGAAAAGATCAACTATTTTTATCCTTGATAAGCTTTTTATTTAGTACATTTTGGCTTCTTGCATCAATTTTTTGGAGCTTTATTGAGTAGCAACCACTTTGCTAAAGTTTTTCGACTTTTAACCTTAACTACAACTTTTTGAGCCACTCAAAAATGGTTATTTCTAAATGAATTCGGTTTTATGAGGGTTCATTTTAACAGAAAATGATTCATCTTTCTAATAGGCATAAAAGTATGCATTTAAGCTTACCGAAAAGAAAATTTAAACAGTGAGACTCGGCAATCCACTCCGCGACCAAGAATATTATCAAAAATCCCTATTTTCTCTTGATTGTAGCATGCCAAAAAGGTGTTGAAAAGCTGCGAAAACTCTTGGCTTAAGTGGAATCATATTTTACGAAGCTGAAATCCACGTTGTTCTGGCTTTCAATCGTGACATGAGCGACCTTCTTTTAATGGCATCAAAACTTTTCACGCACCCTGTATAATATGAGAGTTGTAGCCAAAAGTCCAATGAAGTTCAAAGATACTGATTGAAGAACTTGAAGATTAAAGAAACTCATTTCCAATTTTGACGCCTAAACACTTTTTATTCCGCCTAAACACAAAGAAAGGAACTTTTACTAATACAGTATTGCAATTTTGGGTATCCGTTTAAAACCGAACATCCGTTTAAAACCAACAAATGCACCAATTGAACTACGGTTAGAAAGGTTATTTTTCTTTTCATTAGAAAGCCCTTTTCCTTTCATCAATTTTCTTTTCATTAGAAAGGCCAATTATTTTTCTGCAAAATAACATTAAAACTGGTTTTAAATGTCTTTTGTCTGGATTTTTTTGGGAGCATGAAATCGGGTAGTCAAAAAGTCGAAGGCTCGGTGATACGGGGACATTTTAGCTAAGGAAACCTATCTTTGTGTCAATAGATAAAAAAATAGAGCACAAAACGTTAGGTATATAGATAAATTTTCAGAGAAAGACATTCATTCAACCAATTTCTTCGTAGTGGTTTTTATAGATTTTTACGAAAAACACGCTTTTACTCTCGAGTTTGCTTTGAAAATAAACCCCAATTGACGTAAAAAGATGGAAAATTAAGCAATAAACACTTTTTATATAGAGGAAACCATAGGTTAGTTTTTCACGCACCCTGTATAATATGAGAGTTGTAGCCAAAAGTCCAATGAAGTTCAAAGATACTGATTGAAGAACTTGAAGATTAAAGAAACTCATTTCCAATTTTGACGCCTAAACACTTTTTATTCCGCCTAAACACAAAGAAAGGAACTTTTACTAATACAGTATTGCAATTTTGGGTATCCGTTTAAAACCGAACATCCGTTTAAAACCAACAAATGCACCAATTGAACTACGGTTAGAAAGGTTATTTTTCTTTTCATTAGAAAGCCCTTTTCCTTTCATCAATTTTCTTTTCATTAGAAAGGCCAATTATTTTTCTGCAAAATAACATTAAAACTGGTTTTAAATGTCTTTTGTCTGGATTTTTTTGGGAGCATGAAATCGGGTAGTCAAAAAGTCGAAGGCTCGGTGATACGGGGACATTTTAGCTAAGGAAACCTATCTTTGTGTCAATAGATAAAAAAATAGAGCACAAAACGTTAGGTATATAGATAAATTTTCAGAGAAAGACATTCATTCAACCAATTTCTTCGTAGTGGTTTTTATAGATTTTTACGAAAAACACGCTTTTACTCTCGAGTTTGCTTTGAAAATAAACCCCAATTGACGTAAAAAGATGGAAAATTAAGCAATAAACACTTTTTATATAGAGGAAACCATAGGTTAGTTTTTCACGCACCCTGTATAATATGAGAGTTGTAGCCAAAAGTCCAATGAAGTTTAAAGATACTGATTGAAGAACTAGAAGATTAAAGAAACTCATTTCCAATTTTGATGCCTAAACACTTTTTATTCCGGTATATTGTAGTAAAAGAAAGGAACTTTTACTAATATTGCAATTTTGGGTGCTGTAACGTTATGTCTCAATTGCGAGTTCAAGTTTAATGCAAAGTTTTAAACTTTAAATTTAATAGTTATAGTTTTATTTATAAAGTTAATATCTATAAAGTTTAACAAAAATTACTGAACCAATTCAGTTATGGAGAGCCCGGCACATCAACATTGCCGTTTTTCTCATCATCTTTATCGGAAATGCGATCTGCTATCAAAATTTGATCGTTTCCGTGCCAATCTTTATCACTTCCCCAAATGGATATGCAATAAGCAATCCGGCCACGAAATTGGTAACTTTAAAACCTTTAAATCAAGATCGGTAAATCAAGATTTTCAGCAAACTAACTTTTCATGGTTTACCATCGTAAACATGGCTCACGTGTATCCATTTTTATCACTTGCCATCAATGCACTCATTTTTGTGAAACTCATTTGGTTGAGAGTGACGGGAACGAGGTGATTTTTGAATTTTTGGATATTTTGAATTTTTTGAAACGATAATGCGTACTTTCTCAGTAGCGGTAGTGATAAATTATGAAGCTTTCGCTTTATTTTTGGCCTTCTTATAGTTAAAACAATGTACAGCGGTGGCCTAGTTTATAATTTTGCTAAGATTACTTTAGCTATTTTAACAAAAAAAATGAAACTCTTTATAAAAATAAACACAAAACACTTTTTCAAAGTTTTCCGAATTTCCCGTTGGGAGGCTGAAAATTGGGGATTTTTCTAGATTTTACAAGAACTCTTTGCAGAAACCTAAATATGTAAACCTAAATTTTGCAAACATTTGTGTTTAACTTTCAAAGTTTCACTTTCAGATAAAACTGAAATATTCTTTGTTCTTTAATTTTGCTTCAGAGGAAGAGTTGAATGAAAAAAGGAGCAACATTGTTTTGACAAACAAAAAGAAAAACAAGGAAGTAGAGTAAACGAGTAAACGTACACTCCCTAGTGCAAATAGAGTAAACGCACACTCTCTAGTGCACTTGTTCATTCTTTTTTTTAAGAATTTAGCCTCTTTTTTGATGTTAAATTTGCATTTTTAGGCTTGTCGTCGGTGCCACTGTCGAGTTGAACCTTTTCCTAATTTGTGTTTGGAGTCTTCTCATGCAAATCGGTTTAATGATATTTATTGTAGGTTCTCAGCTTTTTGAATCAAGGGAAAACCTTTTCAGGATCATGCCTATGATTTGTTCAAAGATTACGCCACGATCGGCTTTGCGGTTGGTGTTTGAACTTTACGCAAATCACTCTAATTGAACTCTAATAAGAGAAAGATTTCAGCTCAACATCGTTTCCGATTTTTCGACTCTCAGTGAAGCTTATGTTGGTCTTTTTCTCAATTCAACATTGAGGGGAAAAATGCTTCGAATGATCATCAAATCGAGCAATCTTGATGCCCAAGGGAACCTCCTCTTCAAGGCTTCATCAAGAAAAGAGAAATCCACTCTAAAGGTCACAAAATTTTGACAAATGTATTAGATAAAAGGTTTAACAAAGGGTGACCCGCTTTAACCTTATCATTGGGAAGGATTTTGTTTCAGAATAAAAGAACAAAAGATTACACGGATTTCCCCAAAACGCTTACAACATAGGAAGAACACGCAAAATTCAGCATATGACACGAGTACATTGAGAGTACATCGAGAGTACATTGAGAGTACATTGAGAGTACGTTGAGAGTACATTGACGAGTACATTGACGAGTACATTGACGAGTACATCGAGTACATCGAGTACATTGACGAGTACATCGAGTACATTGACGAGTACATTGACAAGTACATTGACGAGTACATTGACAAGTACATCGAGTACATCGAGTACATTGACGAGTACATCGAGTACATTGACGAGTACATTGAGTACATCGAGTACATTGACGAGTACATCGAGTACATTGACGAGTACATTGACAAGTACATTGACGAGTACATTGACAAGTACATCGAGCACGAGTACATTGACGAGTACATCGAGTACATTGACGAGTACATTGAGTACATTGAGTACATTGACGAGTACATCGAGTACATTGACGAGTACATCGACGAGTAAATTGACGCTTGACATCTCAAATATAGTCGATGACATCTCAAATATTAGCAAAATTCTTTCCATAATATTAGATTAGCTATCTAAACAGATTTCAGGGTGCAAAGGTAGTTGGGGGCAATCTGTAAACTCGTCTTGACATGTTGAAATTTTACTTGACGAGGTTTTTGATGACGCTGAATCGATTGGTGATATTTTCAAACTATAATTTCTTGTTTTTTTGATGCTATTACACATGGCTTCAATTTTTTTTTGATGCTTTTCCCTGAGTTTTGTAACTTTTCTTATGTTTCTCTTTAGTTTATGACGCAAGCAGGTTTAGCAGCGGTGGCTAAGCTTGAATTGAAGGTGTTTAACCACAAAGAGCCCAAACTCGCGACCAAGCAGTTTCAATGATTGGCTGGCTGCTTTGGAAAGATCGAGGTTTCGCGAATTGAACATCAAAAAATAACAAAATATCAAAGCCGGGCCCATTTGTAATAACATCTAAATAACAAGAAATCATAATTTGAAAATATCACCAATCGATTCAACGTCATCAAAAACCCCTTCAAGTAAAATTTCAAAATGTCAAGACGAGTTTACGGATTGCCGCTTCCAACTACTTTTGTACCGAATTTTGAACTTTAAATGTAGTTTTAAGTAGATCGGTTTATTAGACAGATAATTTTACGGTTTATTAGTAAAGAAAGGCAACGAGAAAAGGCAACGATACCCATCAGGCTTTTAAAAAACAGAGAATTGAATATCTCTTGATTTTCAAAGCAAAATCCAACGAATTAGGCAGCTATGCACTGCGACGAGGCAACGATACCCATCAGGCTTTTAAGCGGAGAAACATTTGGTGACTTTTTGGTGCCCAATTTGGTGACTTTTTCTTTGAGAATTAAAAGATATTCAGCTTTCCGCTTTTTTTTTTCGCCTGCAATTCTGATTCACATTACAAATACGATTTTCTAAAAAGAAGTTAGAGTGCGTTCAATTAGGGGGTGCCGTTCAATTACAGTATTTACGGTAATATCTTGAAGCACAATAATATACTTATTCCAATAATAATCAATGAATAATCAATGAATACAACGTGAACGTAATTTTTGAAGGGGAACGACCAAGCAAAAATGGCTTTATTTGGCTTGAAATGCTGCTTTCAGTCTAGATTCTTATTTTTGCGAAAACGGGAATGCCCGAATAGGGTCGGAGGATTCCTTCAGCTCCGGCACGATTGGATTCGAATGGAAGATTCGAAGAGAATTCAAACGATCTCACCAACCAGCAAGTCATTACTTTTGCCTCCAATTGAGCAAAGCGTTGGCCTGGAAGATTTTTTAGATCTCTTTGTACTTGGAAGGATTTTCATTACCGTAAAACTTATAGTATTAGCACATTCTCTAGTAGCCGTACAGTGCTTCAAAGAAGCGAAAATCTTTAAAGGTATGGGATCACCGTAGTTTCAGGAGCTATGATCTTCACTTTTTATTAGAAAAGATGTCAGGGTATCTTTTGCTATCAAAAAGCATCAAAATCGGTGTTTCTATGTCAAAGTTAAGATTTGTTCAAAGTTTCTCTTACAAAAATCACTTTTGTGGGTCATTTATATCTTTTGCTTTACAAAAAACTCAAGCTCTTCAAGAAAACTTCTATTAAGATCCTGAAAGAAGAGATAAGATCCTGAAAGAAGAAAGCTGAATCAAGTTCATCAAGATCAAGCATACGCTTGCAAATTGTCAGCTTATTTCAAAGATTATCTAATGATTCAGCTGAATTAATGAAGGATTCTGATAAAGGAGATAAAAGGACATGTCCTATTGAACTTTCAGTGTTTTTGGTTCAGCCATTATTAGGTTAATGCAGAAGTCTTTACAATGTTTTGTCCAAACGTTTTTTTCAAATAAGCCCGCAACCTACAAAATTTCTATTTGAAATATTAAAAACGTCAATTGTTTCTCTGCAAAATGGCTTTTGGGAGGTTTTTAGAAGTATTTGTTTTTGTGGATTTTCAAAGGCGCAAAGGAGAGCACTCAAAACTATTCTGATTTGGGCACTTTCTTCAATACAAACTTATTTTGGTGCCAAAGTAAAAAAGATCGAGCTTATTTGATTACATAAGTCTGTAAAATTTGAAAACTATATGTTCAGCTATTGTCTTTAAAACAGTAATTGAAAATTTTACACAAAAATGCGTTTTTACTGAGTTAAGGCGAGGTTTGAGCTTTCTCTTAGAAGTCATTTTGTAGAAAGAGAAGCAGGAAGCAGAAGAGAAATGATATTTCGTAGCCGATTATGAATGAAATTTTTTGGTAAACCTTTCTAGTAGAGCAACCCTTTAATGTATGAGGACAATATTATATCATCTTGTAGCGAATTAAATTCTGCGTCGATTGGTACCAAATTTGTGAGTTTAGGTTAAAAATTGCCGCCGCTCCAACGTTTCATTCAAAATCGGCGCGACCCCCGTAGCCGATTATGAATGAGTGGGTCTAGGAGCGTCCAACCATCAAGTATTTAGTCTCATTCAACGCAGAATCATTGATAATTATGTTAAATTTTTTAAATTAGCAAGATTTGATAAAAAGAAAAAAAAATTAGAGCAAAAAAAATGTTTGTTCAAGAGAAAACTTTGAAACCCCATAATTTTTTTTCTTTTTATCCAATCTTTCTAATTTAAAAAATTTAACATAACTATTAATGATTCTGCGTTGAATGAGACTAAATACTTGATGGGTGGACGCTCCTAGACCCACTCATTCATAATCGGCTACGACAGATAGATCTTTTTAATAGTTTAGGTAAATGATTCAACAAATTTAGTAAAGCACTCTTTTCCATGGAAAGAAGAATTTGAAGAAGATTGTAAAGATTTAATAGTTAGAAAAGACGCGTGGTTCCCAATATGTATTCAGAAATGAGTTTTACAGCATTCTCTTTACTTTTACCACTCACCAATACAATTTCTCGGTCCAGCAGAGGATGGAATGTAATCAAAGGGATGCCTTTTTGACTCTCTTTCTTCTGAGAATCTTTCCGGGTCAAATGAAAGAACATCGTCACCCCAAACCTGAAAAAACGATGAATGAATTTGAGCAATAATTGTTTACATTTTTGTTTCGGCAAAGTATAAGCGGAGCAATTGTTACCACAGCACCTTTAGGAAACAGATATGGACCTAGAATTTAGGATTTTCAAGCTTTTCCCAGAAACAACCGCTCTGGAAATCGTTTTGCAATCTCCGATTTGCATCAGGCACTGGACAATAGAGACGAAAAGCTTCTTTCATTACCTAAATTTCAATTGCATTTCAATTTCAATTGCATTTCAATTTCAATTGCATTTCAATTTCAATTGCATTTCAATTTCAATTGCATTTCAATTTCAATTGCATTTCAATTTCAATTGCATTTCAATTTCAATTCCATTTCAATTTCAATTGCATTTCAATTTCAATTGCATTTCAATTTCAATTGTAATTTCAATTTCCATTGCATTTCAATTTCAATTGCAATCTCAATTTCAATTGTAACTTCAATCTCAATTGTAATTTCAATTTCAATTTCAATTTCAATTTCAATTGCATTTCAATTTCAATTGCAATTTCAAACGGTAATACTCAAGAAAAAAACCTGATCTAGATAGGTCATCTTTTTGAGATGCTCCGTTATGATGATTTCTTCTTGATCTTCACCAATCATTTCACATATTTCGTTAAAAAGCCTTTGTTGAACTTGTGGATGATGAGCGATACACCAAATACCCCACGAGACACCGGAAGATGTTGTATCGTGGCCTGAAAAGAATATTGATAATTTAAAAAAAGGGTTACTGTAACTATTGTATCCTGAAATCAGTTTAAAAGTTTAAAGCAAAAGTTGAAGTTTTTTTACTCAGGCTATTTAGATACCGGCTGAAAAATCCGCTTAACAGTGGGTTTTTCTGGTTTCTGATGACTTATCGCCCCTGGTGCAACTGGGAGCGCGCTTGTCTACGGCCCACCCGATCGGGGTTCGACCCCTGCTACTCAATTTTGACTTTTATTTTAAATTACACAACTATATTATATTTGAAAGGTTTTTTGGTCCAAAGACGGCTGAGAAAAAGGCCGAACCTTTGCGATTTTCTGCCCCAAGTTCAAATCCTACCCCCGCCATTTCTCGTTTCTTCAAAAAATGTTCTTTAGCTGGTCAGTCGACCATTCCCCAAATTTCTCTGTTACCTTCAAACATGAATGTGTCCACCTCTTCACGCACTCCTTCGTCATCGATTTCTCCTGCATCGTAATGCTAAATATTCTTCATTTTTCGATTTTCTTTTACTTTTTTTCTTACCTCTAATAACATGTCAAGGAAATTTGTTTCTTTCCCACTTGTCTTTTCGCCATTTGCTCTTTTCGCTTTTCTTTCCGTAATAATCTGACAATAAGGGTTGGATCTGGGAATTTTCGGTGTGAACCTCAATAGGTGTCCAATGGAAAAGTGCCCTAACTTGCCCATTTTCACTCTAATCTTTTTGTGATTGATTTCAATCGATAGAAAATGAAATTCTGCGTCAATTGAAATCAAAATCAAAAAGATTGGCTTGGTCGAGATATACCATTTTTCCGTTGCACGCCTATTGGCGTTCACACCGAACATTCCCAGGTATATTGCCTATATTCTTTGAAATACTCAAAAATTTACCCCTTTAGTGAATCCATGTAGTGTATCCAGAGTATTTCTGTACATTTTCGCCATTCCCGACCAGTAATAATAAGGATGAAACCAGTATTGCCACTAAAAGTTTGTTGAATGAATTTGGTAATCTTCGTTCAGCCGGATTCAGTAGCATGCCAAAAGGTGTTGAAAAACTGCGAAAACTCTTGGTTTACATGGAATCATATTTTACGAATCGGAAATCCGTGTTGTTCTAGCTTTGGCTAGAACAACAGCCTTCTTTCTTAAGCGGCCTTCTTTTAATTCCGTCAAAACTTTTCACGCACTCTGTATAATATTATATTTGTAGCCAAAAGTCCAGTGAAGTTTAAAGATACAGATTGAAGAACTGAAAATTAAAGAAACTCATTTCCAGTTTTGACGCTGAAACACAACAGCAAAAGAAAGGAACTTTTACTAATACAGTATTGCAATTTTGGGCGCTGTAACGTTATGTCCCAATTGCGAGTTCAATTTTAATGAGTTTGGGGTGCGACCCGCTTTAACCTTATCAACGAGGATGATTCTGCTTAAGAATGGCCGAATAGCACAAAAGGTTAAAAGGGTTTCCCCCAAAAGCGCTTACAACGTAACAAGAACACGTAGTATCCAACAATAGATTAATACTCTTGAGAAGAGTACAGATCGGATTGATACTACGTCGATGGTGACACAAATGTTAGTAAAACCTCTCTACAATGTTAAACCAGTCAACAGGATTTAAAACCTGAAGGGTAGCATAAAGTAAAGTGAATTTATAACGTTACTGCTTATTAGTACAGAACCGAAATGCAACAATACCTATTACAAAAACAGCATGCGCATCAAAAATGAAATAACAAAGTCCCCCGAGAAAAAAGGCAAAAACCTGCAGACTAAAAAAAATAATTTCGGGAAGGGAGAAAAAGGACGAAGAATGCGACGCGAATAATTGCAAAATAGCAACGCAAATAGGAAGGAAACGGACGCGACCAATGCAAAGTTTTAAACTTTAAATTTAATAGCTATACTTTTATTGATAAAGTTAATATCTATAAAGTTAATATTTATAAAGATTAACAAAATTTACCGAACAAATTCAGTTATGGAGAGCCCGGCACATCAACATTGCCGTTTTTCTCATCATCTTTATCGGAAATGCGATCTGCTATCAAAATTTGATCGTTTCCGTGCCAATCTTTATCGTTTCCCCAAATGGATATGCAATAAGCAATCCGGCCACGGAATTGGTAAGTTTAAAACCTTTAAATCAAGCTCGGTAAATGAAGATTTTTAGCAAACTGACTTTTCATGGTTTACCATCGTGAACATGGCTCACGTGTATCCATTTTTATCACTTGCCATCAATGTGCTCATTTTTGTGAAACTCATTTGGTTGAGAGTGACGGGAACGAGGTGATTTTTGAACTTTTGGATATTTTTTCAAGCGATAATGAGTAATTTCCCGGTAGCGGTAGTGATAAATTATGTAGCTTTCGCTTTCTGTTTCTTATAGTTAAAACAATGTACATCGGTGGCTGGTACATCGGTGGCTGGTACATCGGTGGCTGGTACATCGGTGGCTGGTACATCGGTGGCCGGTAGAGCGGTGGGTGGTAGAGCGGTGGGTGGTAGAGCGGTGGGTGGTAGAGCGCTGGGTGGTAGAGCGGTGGGCGGTAGAGCGGTGGCTGGTACATTGGTGGGTGGTAGAGCGGTGGGTGGTAGAGCGGTGGGTGGTAGAGCGGTGGGTGGTACATTGGTGGGTGGTAGAGCGGTGGTTGGTACATTGGTGGGTGGTAGAGCGGTGGCTGGTACATTGGTCGGTGGTAGAGCGGTGGGTGGTAGAGCGGTGGGTGGTACATTGGTGGGTGGTACATTGGCGGGTGGTACATTGGTGGCTGGTAGAGCGGTGGCTGGTACATTGGTCGGTGGTAGAGCGGTGGGTGGTAGAGCGGTGGGTGGTACATTGGTGGGTGGTACATTGGCGGGTGGTACATTGGTGGCTGGTAGAGCGGTGGGTGGTAGAGCGGTGGGTGGTAGAGCGGTGGCTGGTACATTGGTGGCTGGTACATTGGTGGGTGGTACATTGGTGGGTGGTAGAGCGGTGGGTGGTAGAGCGGTGGCCGGTAGAGCGGTGGCCGGTAGAGCGGTGGCCGGTAGAGCGGTGGCCGGTAGAGCGGTGGGTGGTACATTGGTGGGTGGTAGAGCGGTGGGTGGTAGAGCGGTGGCCGGTAGAGCGGTGGCCGGTAGAGCGGTGGCCGGTAGAGCGGTGGCCGGTAGAGCGGTGGGTGGTACATTGGTGGGTGGTAGAGCGGTGGTTGGTACATTGGTGGGTGGTAGAGCGGTGGCTGGTACATTGGTGGGTTGTAGAGCGGTGGGTGGTAGAGCGGTGGCCGGTAGAGCGGTGGCCGGTAGAGCGGTGGCCGGTAGAGCGGTGGGTGGTACATTGGTGGGTGGTACATTGGCGGGTGGTACATTGGTGGCTGGTAGAGCGGTGGGTGGTAGAGCGGTGGGTGGTAGAGCGGTGGCTGGTACATTGGTGGGTGGTACATTGGTGGGTGGTACATTGGTGGGTGGTAGAGCGGTGGGTGGTAGAGCGGTGGGTGGTAGAGCGGTGGGTGGTAGAGCGGTGGGTGGTAGAGCGGTGGGTGGTAGAGCGGTGGGCGGTAGAGCGGTGGGCGGTAGAGCGGTGGGTGGTAGAGCGGTGGGTGGTAGAGCGGTGGGTGGTAGAGCGGTGGGTGGTAGAGCGGTGGGTGGTAGAGCGGTGGGTGGTAGAGCGGTGGGCGGTAGAGCGGTGGCTGGTACATTGGTGGGTGGTAGAGCGGTGGGTGGTAGAGCGGTGGGTGGTAGAGCGGTGGGTGGTAGAGCGGTGGGTGGTAGAGCGGTGGGTGGTAGAGCGGTGGGTGGTAGAGCGGTGGGCGGTAGAGCGGTGGCTGGTACATTGGTGGGTGGTAGAGCGGTGGGCGGTAGAGCGGTGGCTGGTACATTGGTGGCTGGTAGAGCGGTGGGTCTTAGAGCGGTGGGTGGTAGAGCGGTGGGTGGTAGAGCGGTGGGCGGTAGAGCGGTGGCTGGTACATTGGTGGGTGGTAGAGCGGTGGGCGGTAGAGCGGTGGCTGGTACATTGGTGGCTGGTAGAGCGGGTGGGTCTTAGAGCGGTGGGTGGTAGAGCGGTGGGTGGTAGAGCGGTGGGTGGTAGAGCGGTGGCTGGTACATTGGTGGCTGGTACATTGGTGGCTGGTAGAGCGGTGGGTGGTAGAGCGGTGGGTGGTAGAGCGGTGGGTGGTAGAGCGGTGGGTGGTAGAGCGGTGGGTGGTAGAGCGGTGGGCGGTAGAGCGGTGGCTGGTACATTGGTGGGTGGTAGAGCGGTGGGTGGTAGAGCGGTGGCTGGTACATTGGTGGGTGGTACATTGGTGGGTGGTACATTGGTGGGTGGTACATTGGTGGGTGGTACATTGGTGGGTGGTACATTGGTGGGTGGTAGATTGGTGGGTGGTAGATTGGTGGGTGGTACTTTGGTGGGTGGTACATTGGTGGGTGGTACATTGGTGGGTGGTAGAGCGGTGGGTGGTACATTGGTGGCTGGTAGAGCGGTGGGTCTTAGAGCGGTGGGTGGTAGAGCGGTGGCTGGTACATTGGTGGGTGGTAGAGCGGTGGGCGGTAGAGCGGTGGCTGGTACATTGGTGGGTGGTAGAGCGGTGGGCGGTAGAGCGGTGGCTGGTACATTGGTGGCTGGTAGAGCGGTGGGTCTTAGAGCGGTGGGTGGTAGAGCGGTGGGTGGTAGAGCGGTGGCTGGTACATTGGTGGCTGGTAGAGCGGTGGGTGGTAGAGCGGTGGGTGGTAGAGCGGTGGGTGGTAGAGCGGTGGGTGGTAGAGCGGTGGGTGGTAGAGCGGTGGGCGGTAGAGCGGTGGCTGGTACATTGGTGGGTGGTAGAGCGGTGGGTGGTAGAGCGGTGGGTGGTAGAGCGGTGGCTGGTACATTGGTGGGTGGTAGAGCGGTGGGTGGTACATTGGTGGCTGGTAGAGCGGTGGGTCTTAGAGCGGTGGGTGGTAGAGCGGTGGGTGGTAGAGCGGTGGGTGGTAGAGCGGTGGGTGGTAGAGCGGTGGGTGGTAGAGCGGTGGGTGGTAGAGCGGTGGCTGGTACATTGGTGGGTGGTAGAGCGGTGGGTGGTAGAGCGGTGGGTGGTAGAGCGGTGGCTGGTACATTGGTGGCTGGTACATTGGTGGCTGGTAGAGCGGTGGCTGGTACATTGGTGGGTGGTACATTGGTGGGTGGTACATTGGTGGGTGGTACATTGGTGGGTGGTAGAGCGGTGGGTGGTAGAGCGGTGGGTGGTAGAGCGGTGGGTGGTAGAGCGGTGGGTGGTAGAGCGGTGGCTGGTACATTGGTGGGTGGTAGAGCGGTGGGTGGTAGAGCGGTGGGTGGTAGAGCGGTGGGTGGTAGAGCGGTGGGTGGTAGAGCGGTGGGTGGTAGAGCGGTGGGTGGTAGAGCGGTGGGTGGTAGAGCGGTGGGTGGTAGAGCGGTGGGCGGTAGAGCGGTGGCTGGTACATTGGTGGGTGGTAGAGCGGTGGGTGGTAGAGCGGTGGGTGGTAGAGCGGTGGGTGGTAGAGCGGTGGGTGGTAGAGCGGTGGGTGGTAGAGCGGTGGGTGGTAGAGCGGTGGGCGGTAGAGCGGTGGCTGGTACATTGGTGGGTGGTAGAGCGGTGGGCGGTAGAGCGGTGGCTGGTACATTGGTGGCTGGTAGAGCGGTGGGTGGTAGAGCGGTGGGTGGTAGAGCGGTGGGTGGTAGAGCGGTGGGTGGTAGAGCGGTGGGCGGTAGAGCGGTGGCTGGTACATTGGTGGGTGGTAGAGCGGTGGGTGGTAGAGCGGTGGCTGGTACATTGGTGGGTGGTACATTGGTGGGTGGTGCATTGGTGGGTGGTACATTGGTGGGTGGTACATTGGTGGGTGGTACATTGGTGGGTGGTAGATTGGTGGGTGGTAGATTGGTGGGTGGTACTTTGGTGGGTGGTACATTGGTGGGTGGTACATTGGTGGGTGGTAGAGCGGTGGGTGGTACATTGGTGGCTGGTAGAGCGGTGGGTCTTAGAGCGGTGGGTGGTAGAGCGGTGGGTGGTAGAGCGGTGGGTGGTAGAGCGGTGGGCGGTAGAGCGGTGGCTGGTACATTGGTGGGTGGTAGAGCGGTGGGCGGTAGAGCGGTGGCTGGTACATTGGTGGCTGGTAGAGCGGTGGGTCTTAGAGCGGTGGGTGGTAGAGCGGTGGGTGGTAGAGCGGTGGCTGGTACATTGGTGGCTGGTAGAGCGGTGGGTGGTAGAGCGGTGGGTGGTAGAGCGGTGGGTGGTAGAGCGGTGGGTGGTAGAGCGGTGGGTGGTAGAGCGGTGGGCGGTAGAGCGGTGGCTGGTACATTGGTGGGTGGTAGAGCGGTGGGTGGTAGAGCGGTGGGTGGTAGAGCGGTGGCTGGTACATTGGTGGGTGGTACATTGGTGGGTGGTACATTGGTGGGTGGTAGATTGGTGGGTGGTAGATTGGTGGGTGGTACTTTGGTGGGTGGTACATTGGTGGGTGGTACATTGGTGGGTGGTAGAGCGGTGGGTGGTACATTGGTGGCTGGTAGAGCGGTGGGTCTTAGAGCGGTGGGTGGTAGAGCGGTGGGTGGTAGAGCGGTGGGCGGTAGAGCGGTGGCTGGTACATTGGTGGCTGGTAGAGCGGTGGGTGGTAGTGCGGTGGGTGGTAGAGCGGTGGGTGGTAGAGCGGTGGCTGGTACATTGGTGGGTGGTAGAGCGGTGGGTGGTAGAGCGGTGGGTGGTAGAGCGGTGGCTGGTACATTGGTGGCTGGTAGAGCGGTGGGTGGTAGAGCGGTGGGTGGTAGAGCGGTGGCTGGTACATTGGTGGGTGGTACATTGGTGGGTGGTAGAGCGGTGGGTGGTAGAGCGGTGGGTGGTAGAGCGGTGGGTGGTAGAGCGGTGGGTGGTAGAGCGGTGGCTGGTACATTGGTGGGTGGTAGAGCGGTGGGTGGTAGAGCGGTGGGTGGTAGAGCGGTGGCTGGTACATTGGTGGCTGGTAGAGCGGTGGCTGGTACATTGGTGGGTGGTACATTGGTGGGTGGTGCATTGGTGGGTGGTACATTGGTGGGTGGTACATTGGTGGGTGGTAGATTGGTGGGTGGTACTTTGGTGGGTGGTACATTGTTGGGTGGTACATTGGTGGGTGGTAGAGCGGTGGGTGGTACATCGGTGGGTGGTAGAGCGGTGGCCTGGTTTATAATTTTGCTAAGATTACTTTAGCCATTTTAACCAAAATTGAAACTCTTTACAAAAATAAACACAAAACACTTTTTCAAAGTTTCCCGAGTTTCCCGTGGGAGGCTGTTGGAGATTGTTCTAAATTGGAGATTGTTCTAAATTGGAGATTGTTCTAGATTTTACAAGAACACTTTGCAGAAATTTAAATCTAAATTTTGCAAACATTTTTGGTTAACTTTCAAAGTTTCACTTTCAAATAAAACTGAAATATTCTTTGATCTTTAATTTTGCTTCAGAAGAAGAGTTGAATGAAAAAAGGATCAACATTGTTTTAACAAACAAAAAGAAAAACAAGGAAGTAGAGTAAACGAGTAAACGTACACTCTCTAGTGTAAATAGAGTAAACGTACACTCTCTAGGGCACTTGTTCTTTTTTTAAGAACTTAGCCTCTTTTCCATGTTAAATTTGCATTTTTAGTCTTGTCGTCGGTGCCACTGTCGAGTTGAACCTTTTCCTAATTTGTGTTTCGAGTCTTCTCAGTCAAATCGGTTTAATGATGTTTATTGTAGGTTCTCAGCTTTTTGAATCAAGGGAAAACCTTTTCAGGATCATGCCTATGATTTGTTCAAAGATTTCGCCACGATCGGCTTTGCGGTTGGTGTTTGAACTTTATGCAAATCACTCTAATTGAACAATTGCAAGAGAAAGCTTTCAGCTCAACATCGTTTCCGATTTTTGGACTCTCAACGAAGCTTATGTTGGTCATTTTCTCAATTCAACATTGAGGGGAAAAATGTTTCGAATGATCATCAAATCGAGCAATCTCGATGCCAAAGAGAACCTCCTCTTTAAGGCTTCGTCAAGAAAAGAAAAATCCACTCTAAAGATCACGAAATTTTGACAAATGTATTAGATAAAAGGTTTAAGAAAGGGTGACCCGCTTTAACCTTATCATTGAGAAAGATTTTGTTTCAGAATAAAAGTACAAAAGGTTAAAGGGTTCCCCAAAAAGCTTCCCCAAAACGCTTACAACATAACAAGAACACGCAAAATCCAGCATATGATTAACGCTCGTGAAACGAGTACATTGACGCTTGACATCTCAAATATAGTCGATCACATCTCGAATATTAGCAAAATTCTTTCCATAATGTTAGATTAGCTATCTAAACAGATTTCAGGATGCAAAGGTAGTTTGGGGGAAATCTGTAAACTCGTCTTGACATGCTGAAATTTTACTTGAAGGGGTTTTTGATGACGCTGAATCGATTGGTGATATTTTCAAACTATAATTTCTTGTTTTTTTGATGCTATTACACATGGCTTTAATTTTTTTTTGATGCTTTTCCCTCGGTTTTGTAACTTTTCTTATGTTTTTCTTTAGTGTATGGCGCAAGCAGGTTTAGCAGCGGTGGCTAGGCTTGAATCAAAGACGTTTAACCTCTTAAGAAAATGGCTCAAACTCGTGATCAAGCGTGGCAAGGATTTCGATGATTGGCTGGCCGATACGGGACTGCTTTGGAAAGATCGAGGTTTCCCGAATTGAGCATCAAAAGTAAAAAATATCAAAGCCGAGTCCATGTGTAATAACATCAAAATAACAAGAAATCATAGTTTAAAAATATCACCAATCGATTCAGCGTCATCAAAAACCCCTTAGAGGAAAATTTCAACATGTCAAGACGAGTTTACAAATTTTGCACCGAATTTGCACCGAATTTTGAACCTTAAATGTAGTTTAAAGTAGATCGGATTTATAATTTTACGGTTTATTAGTACACAAAAGAAAAGGCAACGATAACCATCAGGCTTTTAAGCGGAAGAAAAACAAAAAAATGAATATCTCTTGAGTTTCAAAGCAAAATCCGACGAAGAAGCAGCTATGCACTGCGATGAAAAAAGCGGAAAAACATAGCTGCCCGATTTGGTCTTTTCTTCTTTGAGAATTAAAAGATCTTCAGCTTTTCGCTTTTTTTTCCGCCTGCAAGTCTGATCCCCATTACAAATACAACGTGCACGTGAAAAGAAACATCAACTTTCGAATGACAAAACGCAAATCAATGGCAAAACGATTGCAAAGCTCTAAACTCAAAAAGAGCGAGAAGTCACATAGACAAGTTCTGCCGAAAAACCAAAAGAAATTTCAGGGAAGAGAATGTGACGAAAAAGCGACGCAAATTAAATGCAAATAGAAACGTAATTTTTGAAGGAAAACGACAAGCAAAATTGGTTTTATTTGGCTTGAAATGCTGCTTTCAGTCTAGTTTCTTCTTTTTGCGAAAACGGGAATGCCCGAATAGGGTCGGAGGATTCCCTCAGCTCCGGCACGATTTGATTCGAATGGAAGATTCGAAGAGAATTCAAACGATCTCACCAACCAGCAAAGCATTACTTTTGCTTCCAATTGAGCAAAGCGTTGACCTGGAAGATTTTAATAGGTGATTCTGAAAAGTTAGAGCATTAGATCAAATTTGCCTTTATCACAAATTTTCCCTGTTTTAAGTACTTTATTTTAGGTTTTGAATGAAGCCCATTGCCTATCCATTAACCCATTAAAAACTCCTCTAAAGGCTGGTCACTCAAAAAGTGACCAAGTCACCTCAGCTGAAGAAATCTCTCATTTCTTTACCTGGAGCCCACTTTGATTTTTTTTTGTCAAAAACTTTTTGAAATATAGTCAAGTTTATCAAAAAAATTTGGGAAGAATTGATGGCTTGGTTTTTGAGAAATCACCTTGCAAACTTTTTCTATGCCTTCTTTCTTGCCAACCTAATATATCACCTTAATATCTAACACCAGAAGCTTTTTTGGAGGAAAAAGCAAAAGAATTGGCGGCGAGAGAAGTCGAACCCGCGACCTCTCTCTTCCGTTCGTTTCGTTAGAGACGTGCGCGTTAACCAGACGAGCTTATTTGATTAAATAATTCTGTAAAATTTGAAAACTATATGTTCAGTTATTGTCTTTAAAACAGCAATTGGAAATTTTGCACAAAAATGCGTTTTTACTGAGCTTTGAGGCGAGCTTTGAGCTTTCTCTTAGAAGTCATTTTGTAGCGAAATGAACGATAGATCTTTTTAATAGTTTAGGTAAATGATTCAACAAATTTAGTAAAGAATCCTTTTCCATGGAAAGAAGAATTTGAAAAAGATTGTAAAGATTTAATCGTTAGAAAAGACGCGTGATTCCCCATAGATTCAGAAGTGAGTTTTACAGCATTTTCTTTACTTTTACCACTTACCAATACAATTTCTCGGTCCAGCAGAGAATGGAATGTAATCAAAGGGATGCCTTTTTGACTCTCTTTCTTCTGAGAACCTTTCCGGGTCAAACGAAAGAACATCGTCACCCCAAACCTGAAAAAACGAGGAATAAATTTGAGCAATAATTGCAATTTGAGCAATAAATTTGAGCAATTTACCTTTTTGTTTCTGCAAAGTATAATCGGAGCAATTGTTATCACAGCATCTTTAGGAAACAAATATGGACCTAGAATTTAGCATTTTCAAGCTTTTCCCTGAAAAAACCGCTCTGGAAATCGTTTTGCAATCTCCGATTTACTTCAGGCACTGGGCAATAGAGACGAAAAGCTTCTTTCATTACCTAAAGAGCAATTTCAAACGGTAATGCTCAAGAAAAAAAACCTGATCTAGATAGGTCATCTTTTTGAGATGCTCCGTTGTGATGATTTCTTCTTGATCTTCACCAATCACTTCACATATTTCGTTAAAAAGCCTTTGTTGAACTTGTGGATGATGAGCGATACACCAAATACCCCACGAGACACCGGAAGATGTTGTATCGTGGCCTGAAAAGAATATTGATAATTAAAAAAAAGGGTTACTGTAACTATTGTATCCTGAAATCAGTTTAAAAGTTTAAAGCAAAAATTAAAGTTTGTTTACGCAAGAAGGAGCTATTTAGAGACAGACTGAAAAATCCGCTTAACAGTGGGCTTTTCTGACCAGATGACTTGTCGCCCCTGGCGCAATCGGGAGCGCGCTTGTCTACGGCCCACACGATCGGGGTTCGACCCCCTGCTACTCAATTTGGACTTTTGTCTTAAATTACACAACTATATTATATTTGAAGACTTTTTTTGGTCCAAAGACGGCTGAGAAAAAGCCAAAACCTATGCCATTTTCAGCCCCAAGGTCAAATCCTACCCCCGCTATTTTTCCTTTCTTCAAAAACTGTTCTCTAGCTTGTGAGTCAACAATTCCCCAAATTTCTCTGTTACCTTCAAACATGAATGTGTCCACCTCTTCACGCACTCCTTCGTCATCGATTTCTCCTGCATCGTAATGCTAAATATTCTTCATTTTTCGATTTTCTTTCCCTTTTTTTCTCACCTCCAATAACATGTCAAGGAAATTTGTTTCATTTCCTCTTGTCTTTTCTCCATTTGCTCTTTTCGCTTTTCTTTCCGTAATAATCTGACAATAAGGGTTTGACCTGGGAATTTTCCGTGTGAACGTCAATAGGTGTCCAACGGAAAAGTGCCATAACTTGGCCAATTTCACTCCAATTTTTTTGTTATTGATTTCAATCGATAGAAAATGAAATTCTGCGTCAATTGAAATCAAAATCCAAAATATTGGCTTGGTTGAGATAGGCCATTTTTCCGTTGCACGCCTATAGGCGTTCACACCGAAAATTCCCAGCTCTATTGCCTATATTCTTTGAAATACTCAAAAATTTACCCCTTTAGTGAATCCATGTAGTGTATTCAGAGTATTTCTGTACATTTTCGCCATTCCCGACCAGTAATAATAAGGAGGAAACCAGTATTGCCACTAAAAGTTTGTTGAACGAATTTGGTAATCACCGTTCAGCCGAATTCAGTCCGTTAAGCCCAATTTGAATAGTGATTAAACTTTAAACGGCATAACTTCTAAATATATTCTTCATTTCTCTTTCCCCGTCATACAGAAATCATCTTTGACTTTCAAATGCTATCAAACAAAATGCGAGTGTTCTAACTTTTGAGCGGATCCGAATTGAATCAGATGAGATAGTTGATTGGTTGGTGCTCGTCGAGTAAGCTCTAAAATCCTAATTTTCTCAGTGTTCAGTCGGCCAATTAAGGTTTATTTACTATCATTCGAAAGCCAAAACTGTTTTCTGAAAAAAAGAGAAATGAAAAATACAGGGTGACCAGAAAATACGTGAAATTTCGTAAACAGTCATTTTTTTACGCTTCGCGGACGTTAACTCTTCAAATTAACTTTAAATTCGGAAAATTCGCATATTTTTACCCTAGAAAATTGATGTTTCTAAAACGAAATTACCTTGGAACTCTATTGTTATTGTCTATTGTTGAACCGGTCTTCTAATTGTTACTAAAACTATTGTTATCGAACACTCTATTGTTCACTAATAGGAGAATAGGGTATCTCTATTCGGGTAAATACCCGAGAATTCGTTTGTGGATCCAGGTGCAAATTTCAAGTCGTAAGTAAATCGAATTTTATTCTTGTATTATTAGAATATCTCAATCTAATGGTTATTTTTCTAAACCGAAATTGACTTTGAACAACTTTCCGATACGATTCTTTGATGGATGTCACGGCTTTGCTCTCAATTTTCTCAATTTTTTGAACTCCGATTTTCCACCCGTGAAATCGCTTGAAAATCTTTTGCTTTTTTAGCTTATTTCTTTAGTTTATGGCTTATTTTGTAGAAAAATCTTAACTCTCCAAATTAGCATTCAAAATTTTTGTAAAAAGAACTTTTGTACAAAATTTTTCTGATTTCAACTATCAAAAGGGTGCACGATCAACAGAAAGCCAACAGAAATCAATGCTTTTTTTGTTTAATTGCAAAGTTGGTGACTTCTATTATGAATTTTTCTATAGTAAAGAATGTTTTGAATAGGTTGCCTTTCATTAACAAAGCTTTTAAACTGGAAAATCTCTTTAGCACAATTTTCGAATGATCGTTGCACAAAAATTTCACGTATTTTCTGGTCACCGTGTATAATCATATAATCATAGACACTAGGGTACTTTCTTTCTTGGTCAAGGGACTGAAAGGAAGGCGTCGTTGCATTTTGGTGTGGTTTCCGCTTTACGGATCACGGACCAAAGCCTGCCTAGCCTACCTAGCCTACCTAGCCTGCCTAGCCTACCTAGCCTACCTAGCTTACCTAGTCTACCTAGTCTACCTAGTCTACCTAGCCTACCTAACCTACCTAGTCTACCTAGCCTGCCTAGCCTACCTAGCCTACCTAGCCTGCCTAGCCTACCTAGCCTACCTAGCTTACCTAGTCTACCTAGTCTACCTAGCCTACCTAGCCTACCTAGCCTACCTAGCCTACCTAGCTTACCTAGCTTAACTAGTCTACCTAGTCTACCTATCCAATCACCTGATCAACCACTCCAGGGTTGGGATGGGGGAAGGGCAGTCATAACCACCTATCTATCGGTGTGTGTGCCAGATCGAACGCAATTACACGACCGCGAGCAAAGAACATCTTCCTCGAGTTCTCGAGTTCCTTTCACATATTTTCTGGTCACCGTCTAGTCAATTAGTAAAAGCAAAAGTAAATCGATTATTCTTCAAGAATACCCGGAAAACGGATGAAAGCTCAAATTTGAAACCTTCAGCTCATATTCGGTATTCATCCATAGCATATCTCTTAGAGCCATCACGTATGGATGAGATGGATTGTGTTGCACATCGGCCGTTTTACCCATTGCCGTCTCTAGAAACATTGAGAAACATGCATTAAAATAAAAAAAACACAAAACTAACCACAAATCACATCCAATGCACATCTTTTTATATAAGGAACTGCGTCGAATTCTACGCCATTCAATTCAGATACAACTTCTACGAAAATCTGGAAACAACAATGCTTCTAATTTTCCGAAATTCGGCCACTTTCCGGGCAATCGAAATCCGGGAGTTTACTTTTTAGGTTCAGAACTTTCTCCAGAAACAATATTTTTGTAAACTTTTTATATAGTTTTAAAGTGGCCACTTCAGGCTTTGAAATCAATTAGAATTTCAATGATATTGAGCTGTAAATTTGTACCTGGAGCTTTTCAGAGTCGGGAAATTGATTGACCGGGTTTATTTTGTTATATCATTCAATTAAAGTCGCTAATTGTGATGATTCTATTCATTTTGACTATGAGATTCTGTTGTTCAATCAAATTCTGAGTCTTAAAGCGAACTACTCATTCAAAATGCTCATTCAAAGTGCTCATTCAAAATTCATCCGGTCAAAAACTTCTTCATTTTTCCTACCTTTGAGTGATAATTGAAAGTTTTCACGTAATTCTCAAGATGTCGAAAATGAAAAGTTGGAGTGATCATTTTGCGTCGATATTGCCATTTGTTTCCAGTACTATATTTAGCAATTCTTTTCATACAATGGTTTTCCCAAAAGTTATTATACTTTTTCTGTAAGCAGTAATTCTTTTAACTGGGAAAAAACCTTGGAAAACTAAGACCGGATTCTAAAAATTCAAGTATTTCTTTTTTTTACCCTAATATGCCCATTTTCATAAGAAGATTTCAACTCTCAACAATTTTTTGACTAGGATTTTTTACATCCGTCGTTGAAGATTCTTGCGAAAGTTGATTTAAACTTTGCAGAATGAAATTTTTCCCAAAAATTGTTGTTGCCATTTGATAGATCTAGATTTTTTTTCTTAAAAACAAGCCACAAACGAATTTTATATCTCAAAAACGAAAGATTTTCAAGCGATTCTGCGAAGGGCACTTAAACTTCAAAAGCAAAAAAAAGCGCTGTGATCACCTTTAAACATTCTTCTCAAAAAGTTGTTTAGAGTTGAAACTCTTGTGCAGAAAAAGTATAGTAGAGGTAAAAATACCGGAATTTTCATAATTTGGCGTTAGTTTTTCAAAAAAAAACCGTGTTTTCCGAGTCCGAGTCGAGTTGTATAAAAGTATAAAAATTTTTTGAAAACGCTATATTTCGATCTCATTACCTAATCAATAAACCCGTTCCAAGCCATTCACGCACAAAATCATATCCAAGACCCTTTGTGATCTCATCTTTCGATTCGATAATCGGCTAAACATTTTGGATAATTATCTTTATCGTAATGATATCGTATTTTCTCTAATAGTAGTACACCCCGCCGAGCCGAGTTGATGACTATTTTACGGTTTTCGCAGAAGTTTTCGCAGAAGCTCAATACTCTAACCCCCCACTAGATCTCATTGTCAGCTACATTTTCCGACCCCACATCGATAGGTTCTGATAAGCGGTCTTCGAGATTTCGAGCAATTTAGGCGAAGCTTAGGTATTTTGTAGAAAGTTCTCAGTATTTTTGTACCCATTTTCAAGAGGAGATTCAGGGCTATCAAATGACTATAATAATCAAGTTTTTCTTTTAACTTACACTAAATTATCAATAAAACAGTTAACGGCTATGTGACATTGTTCAAAATAAAGTTTTGGTTGATTTAACAGTGAGCAATCGGTAAATGCTTAAACGCTCTCCAACTTTGTTCAAAGTTTTCACAAAGGCTCAACACTCAAATCCTAGAAGATCTCATCGTCAGCTACATTTTCCGACCCCACATCGATAGGTTCTGATAAGCGGTTCTCGAGATTTCGAGCAATTTAGGCGACGCTCAGGGTGCACTACTATTAGAGAAAATACAATATTTAAAAAGTAATAATGTGTAAAATTTGCGCACTTTCACCGTTTCTCCATTTAATGGAATAATGAAAACTTGATTCGCGAAATTCACTCGATAAACATCATGACCTTTCTCTCGCATTTCATCACTTTTTCGTAGCAACCATTCAGTGATGCCTACAAATTCGAAGATTCGTTTAAAGATCTTACATTAAATTGATGGTGAATGTGGAATTGATGGTGGAATCAAAAGCTTTTCAGAGAAAAGATCTTTTGAATGCTACAAACGGCAGCTTGTACATTTAGGCAAACATTTTAAAATCCACCTTCTCCAAAAAGTGAACCAAAAGCTTTTCTAATAAAAAAAAGAATGAAGTTTAAAGCTTGGTTTACGTTCAAGAAAATCGAGAAAATAAATATGAAAATCATTTACCCGCACTATCCAATCCAGCCCATTCATTGGCCGTTCCCCAAATTGGATGCTCATCTAATCCTGAAAATTGATAAATAAATTTTATGATTTACTGATTTAATTTTATGATTACAAAAAACCCAAATAAAAACCTGCAAAAGGCAGAGCTTTTCTGTGATTTATTCACTTTTTATATTACCCTAAAGTCGCGAGTATAAGTTCATCCGAGTATAAGTTCTGCCTTAATTTACATTTAAAGGGCTCTGATGGAAAATTTTGTTCTTTCTTTCAACCGCTTGACATCAGCGTCAATAAGCCATTCAAGGACAATCTAAAGGCACACTGGGAAGAATGGATGTCCGATAGCCGAAACTTTCAAAATCCTCCGTTGTAAACAGATTAGCCCTTTGTTTATAGACTTTTTCAAATTTAAACCGCGGTCAGGGCCCAGAGGGGGCCCATTCCTTTTCAAAATCCCCTTTTCCCTCGGCCCCCTTTTTATTTTTCATTTCCCGTTAGGGCCGCTAGATTATGGAACTTGCTCCCAAACGACATACGAGAAATTCAGTCGCTTTTCATATTCAAGAAACGTATCGATGCTTTAGATCTAGTGGCTCTTTGCCGTAGGTATTTGGTTTTTTGTTTTGGGGGTGTGTTGTGTGGGTGTGGTGTTGGGTTTTCTATGATTTCTTTCACTTTATCGTTTGAATAAAGTATTATTATTATTATTTATATTACCCTAAAGTCGCGAGTATAAGTTCATCCGAGTATAAGTTCTGCCTTAATTTACATTTAAAGGGCTCTGATGGAAAATTTTGTTCTTTCTTTCAACCGCTTGACATCAGCGTCAATAAGCCATTCAAGGACAATCTAAAGGCACACTGGGAAGAATGGATGTCCGATAGCCGAAACGACCAATTTACCCTGTCGGGACGAAAAAAGAGAGCGAGCTACGAGACAGTTGCGGAATGGGTAAGGAAAAGTTTCGACGCGGTCCCCTCTTCTTGCATTATCAATGGATTTCGAAGAGCTTTGACGGATGAAACAGTTTCGAAGCTAAGCACAGAATTCTTTTTTATGTCGCTTTAATTGCTTTGAATTTATTTTTCTTGGGTTTTTATACATTTTTATTCTTATATAAACTTTTATTATTGTTCTTAAAAAGCAAAAAAAGCGAAAAGCAAAAAGCAAAAAAGTTATGCTGCAGCGGGGTTCGAACCCTCGACACACCGCACCGGAGACAGCCGTCAATTTGCATGTGAAAACCAAACAGAACTTATACTCGCGACTTTAGGGTACAATTTATAATTTCTCGCATTTTTCCTCTTTCTGATTCTCGTTCTCCCCGTTTCCCTGGTTTTAAATCGGATGTAGAGATATTTTGATCACTTCTTTTTATTATTATTTAACCAATCAACCATTGATTATTACTTTATTCTTAGATTAGTGCTTTTGCTAGATTTATTCAAATAAAGATGCTAAATCTTCCACCATTCTCATTTAGAGTGTGTTCCTTTCGACTAACGCGTTTTCTAAAATGCACCTGTTTGAGAAAAACACCGTAGTCGAGCAGCCAATTTACTTCCGATCAGCTCAATTTTGGTATCATTTGATGAGGAATCACAAGGCTTAGCCAATGATTTAAAAATTGGATTGATCTGATGAAAACTATCGGTTTGACACGGTTTAACTACGGTACTTTTCTCAAATAGGTGCATTTTCGAAAACGCATTAGACGAGAGGAACACACTCTACTCTCATCCCACTCTCAATCCCATTAACTCACAATCAACACTTCAAAATCAAAACCCTCTTTTTAAAATTTTTTTCAGCTAAACTCGAGGCTTTTGGCGACTAGGCGTGGCTCTTTTATCTTGCATCCCGAATCTGCTTTCTCTAAATCCTCTAGAGATTTTTTTGTAAATCGTGTGATTAAAGTTTGGAATGCCCTTGCCGACAAGTTGCGTTTGATCTCCACCGTGTCTGATTTTAAGAAGGGCTACTTCGTTGCGTTTTAAGTGACTTTGTGAGCTTTTATCTGGGACATTTTTCATGTCGTTTTCGCACTTTATTTCTTTCTAAATAAAGTATTTATATATATATATTATATATATACGAATGGGCTGACCTATATACGCCTTATAGAAAGCGCGGCCTAAAAGATGAATGGGCCGCCTTATATACGCCTTATACAAAGCGCCGCCTTACATACGCCTTATACAAAGCGCCGCCTTATATACGCCTTATACAAAGCGCCGCCTTATGTACGCCTTATATAAATCGCCTTCTTATATACGAAAACTTTAGCCTTGTTTTTGGAAAATTGGTGAACTTTCTACTTCAAAACCTAGGTTTATAAAATAATTTGTTAGATGTTCAAATCAAAAAAAATCATTTCAAATTTCTTCTTTTAAATAAAAACAAAGTATCTTTTATCTCTTTTATCTTGCATCCCGAATCTGCTTCCTCTAAATCCTCTAGAGCTTTTTTTGTAAATCGTGTGATTAAAGTTTGGAATGCCCTTGCCGACAAGTTGCGTTTGATCTCCACCGTGTCTGATTTTAAAAGGGCTACTTCGTTGCGTTTTAAGTGACTTTGTGAGCTTTTATCTGGGACATTTTTCATGTCGTTTTCGCACTTTATTTCTTTCTAAATAAAGTATTTATACTAATTTTAGAAAACGAATTAGTCGAGCGGAACACACTCTACTCTCATCCCGCTCTCAGCCCCATCAACTCACAATCAACACTTCAAACCTGGTATTTTGTTGGCCAATCGTCTTTTCCTAGCAAGTGCCATAATGAATAGAATAAATCGAACGAAGAAATAAATGAATAAAATTGTTAGAAGAGCAGTAATCAATTGAAACATTTTTCTCGATTTTTCCCGTTTTAACCTAAAAGTTTTTATCGTAAATAAAAAAAGAAAATCTGTTCGAAAATTTGAGATAACTTTTAAATCAAATAAGTTTTTAAATACTCAACTAAACGGGAAATCAAATGGTTTCTCTTGAGCAAACAGAAAACAGAAAACAGAAAAAAACATTTGTTTTCAATTTCTCTTCGTTCTTTTCCTTTTCTTTTCACTCGAACACTCCAATTCTTTTACTAGAAAACTACATTTTTCAAAAGAGATTCAAGAGAAATCTTTTATCTTTATCGGTCAAAAAAGGTCGTTAAAATTGACCGATCAGTCTTTTCACTAATGATCTTTATATATTGTTATCTTTTTTTTCGTTATTACAAGAGCTTAGTGAAGGAAAAAGTGAGAAATCTAAAAACATTTTTGAATATTTTTACACCAGAAATTTTACATATCAATTTACTCAAAATACGTTTTTTAACGAAAGAATTGGATACACAAAGGAATCCAATAATTTTAAGCATAAACTACGTAAAGATAAAGCTTAAAATTGGGAACATTGTTCGATATGCTAACATTTCATAGGTACCTGTGCCTGCTGGCTACTATCGCTTCCACGGATCTTTTCGGTTGAAATTTTTCCAGTATATTAAGGATATACATTGCTCAATATCTATACCAAAACTCAAAGGACCAGCTGAGATTCTATCGAGACATGAGAATCCAAGGTTGAAAGTTTTTGGACCAAAATCGGGCTTTTTCGAAAAACAAAGATTTAACCCTAGAAGACGAACAAAAGAGTTTTTTTTCTTTTGTTATTTTGAAATAACTTTAATTGGCGGTATTTTCTAAAGGAAAACCCGGGCATGGCTATTAGATTCTATCGAAATATGGGATCCAACTTTGAAAGTAACCGTTTTTGGACTAAAATCGGGCTTTTTCAAAAAACAAACATTTAACTCTAGAAGACGAACAAACAAAAGGAGTTCTTTTCTTTTATGTTATTAATTATATTTAATTTTATGTTATTAATTATATTTAAGTTATATTTAACTTTAATTGGCGGTATTTTCTAATGGAAAACCCGGGCATGGCTATTACCAGAAATACATTTTCCAGAAAATGCTCATTTTTGACCTTTCAACTTAAAAGCCACCCAAATCCTCAATAATCAATCGAATTCAAAATCTTTCTGCACTATTTTGTAGAGGAGATACAGCCCTTCCTAATAGTACACAACACTTATTGGCCGAGACTTGCAATCTTTCTATCTTTGGAAAGATATGTGAGCGCTGGTTTCATTCCCAGCACCCTAATAAAAGTTTCTAGGACGCAGGAGAGAATGTTTCGGATCCCTTCCTCTTTGTGAATCAGACCCGAGGTTTGAATTTGGAAGAAAGTTCTCTACAAACAACCATCAATAAAACAATGCTTGAGCCTGACGAAAAAGGCTTTCAAAGCCTGCGAATCCACAAAGTGCTAAATGTTCTTGATTCTGCTTTGAAAAAGGAGGGTGTAAAACTTGGGATGCCAATTGAACGATGGACTGATTTGCATGTACAAATTCCAAAGGAATACATTTTTCTGTTGAATAAGATGCCAAACATGATCGAAAAGATCGAGGGAAAGAGTATATACAAAACTTGGAACGTTTTCAATCAAAGCTACTACAATAGAACTTTCAATGGGGATACTTTAGAAGTTTTGGAACGAACAAATGATTATTTTCAGAAGCAGATCGAGGATTTATATATCAAATACGTTCAACTAATCACAATAATCAAGAGAATGATGACCGAATCGAGTCTAAAAGAACTTGCAGCCAATCCGTTCAAGTTCGCAAAAGAGTTTGCGGAGATTTTCAACATGCAAAAAGAAATCAAAACCAATTATTTCAATAAGTATTGGTTTAAAGTGATTCTATTTAACAATCAGTGGTTTCTAATCGAAAATGGGACAACGATTTCGCTACTCGGACGAGATTTTAAATGGTTTTCTGAAGATTTTAACAATGCAACAAAGATTTTTCCGACACTCAATGATGTTTTAAAGAATCCAAGTGATTTACTTTTAAACGGTTTTCACTTTGATGTGTTAATAGTTTGGTTTCAAAGGAAACTCTTTCCTATTAGCCTAAAAATGCAGAAAACGGAGACGAAATGTGAGTATATTTGTCCGTCTGGATGGTTGTTAGTAACCATAATAAAATTGATGAATGAGAGCCGAGTATTTCCCTTTATTCATTATCGATTCAATATAAATGAGAATTTACGAGAAAACTCACTTTTTCAGAAATCAACATTGAGAGCCGAACAAATCGATTGCTATGAAAGACTTCGAGTCATTTATTCTCAAGTATTTTTAGGCTTATCGCAAACGCAAACGAATTCCTCAATGAATTTACAATTGAGATCACAATTTGTGGAAATGAAAAGTGAACTGGGAAAAGAAGTCGACTGTCCGAATTTCATTCTATTTGCGGCCGTTGGTGAATTACGAAGGGTTTTACTCGAAAGGCCCACTCACGGGGAATCTGTTTTAATGATGTTGCTTGTGGATGGGTCTGTGGAGAAAGCTCAAGCAAATTTAACCGATTACACAACGGATGCCGTGCGTCGACTTCCATACACAATCACCACAATTAATCATTTGATTCGTAGAATTGATACTTTCCTGAAAAATGTTGACTCAAATGAATAGTAAAAATGAATGCTTTTTCTAACAACCCAAAACCCGGAGCAGAACTGAAACTTTGGTTGGTGAAAAGAAACTGAAAATTCCTCTAGTTACACCTTAAAATTGATTGAAGTCAACAGAAATTAGGGAAATTTAGCTTGACTTTTTTTGGCTCACTGAAACTTGTCATTCTTTTGTGATAAATTGAAAATGTTTCCACACTATTTCGCTTTTTGTTTTTTCCTATTTGCTCATTCAATCACATGCATCACTTTCCTTTTCAAGGAAAATATTATTATCGACTCTTTCGAGCGAGCACAAAAAAGGGCTAGAAAGCAATTTGTTATTTTTCTCAGTAAAATTAATCTAACAATGAAATGGTCAGAAGTGACCGTGATATTTCGGCACCAAAATGAAATTCTAACACCTCTCGAATCCGAAAGCGCCATCGTACTCGCCTAGTACTCGCCTAGTACTCGCGTACTCGAAAGCCAAACACCTAATCGAATCCGGCGAGTACGATGGTGCTTTCGGATTTTGCTAAGGACCACTAGTTTTCGAGAAAAACGGCCTTAAAATTTCGACGCCTACTCGAAAACGAGGCACATTTCTATGAAAGGACTTCTTTCACGTAGAAAAAATGTAGTCAGCGGGTAGAGTCCTCGACTCCAACTCTAGTTCGGTCTCGGCCAGCGCCATTTGTTTTGATGATCACTGACATTATGGCGGTGGCGTTCTATTAGAGTATTCGATTTCAGTTTACGGAATTGAAATTTACGGTAACTTTCAGTTTCGGACTCCCAGGCAAAATTGCTATGTACAGGGTGTTCAAAAAAAAAGTCACTTTGTGTCAAATTTCTAAAAAACTTTAAGCGACTCAAAGTGCAAAAGTGATTTTTGATCTTTTGTCATGATTTTTACCATAAGATGATCCCCTATACAAAAAATTTCCCTAATCACCATGGTCACCACCACCATAAGGGCCACCACCATGAGATTTTTGTTATAAAATTAAAACTTTCTACTGTCACCGTGGTGTCAGTATTAGAGTTAATATATAAACTAAGATTTTTAACCAAACACTTTTTTCATCTCCATCATATGATAATCTGTCGTACATAAAAGATTTTCAACTCGCTTTTGTTTAAAGAAGTGCCCCGTTTTTTCAAGGAAACGCTGATCAATAAAGTTTATGGTTTAAATTTGTTGTTATCCTAATAGTTTTTTATTATGCACCACGGGAGGGTTTTAATTTTATGGCAAAAGTCTAATGGCGATGACTAGACTTGTGTTTCGGTTGACCCGGAAACGTTCTTTTTCGGTTTCGGTTTCGGTTTCGGTTTCGCTTAAATGAACCGAACCGAGAGACTCATCTTTTCGGGTCAACCAAAGCGAACCGAGCTGAAAGACTCATCTTTTCGGTTGAACCGAACCGAACCGAGCTGAAAGACTCATCTTTTCGGTTCAACCAAAGCGAACCGAACCGAGAGACCTATCTTTTCGGTTCAACCAAAGCGAACCGAGCTGAAAGACTCATCTTTTCGGTTGAACCGAACCGAACAGAGCTGAAAGACTCATCTTTTCGGTTCAACCAAACCGAACCGAGCTGAAAGACTCATCTTTTTGGTTCAACCGAACCGAACCGAGCTGAAAGACTCATCTTTTCGGTTGAACCGAACCGAACCGAGCTGAAAGACTCATCTTTTCGGTTCAACCAAAGCGACCGACCGAGAGATCCTATCTTTTCGGTTCAACCAAACCGAACCGAGCTGAAAGACTCATCTTTTCGGTTGAACCGAACCGAACCGAGCTGAAAGACTCATCTTTTCGGTTCAACCGAACCGAACCGAGCTGAAAGACTCATCTTTTCGGTTCAACCAAACCGAACCGAAAGATTTCGCTGGACTTCGATTGAACCGAAACCGAAAAGAGCCAACCGAAACACAAGTCTAGTGGTGGCCATAGTGATATGAGAAATTTCTTGTAAAGAGGGGAAATAAAATATGGTAAAAATCGTATGGATATATAGTAAAAGTGGAAAATGATAAAATCAAATGGATATATGGTAAAAATCATGACAAAATATCAAAAATTTGCGACCCCAAAAAAATCATTTTTGCACCATACCTTTGAGCGACTTAAAGTTTTTAGAAATTTAACACAAAGTGACTTTTTTTTGAACCTGTAGTTGGGTTGATTACTTTCAGAGATCACCACCCACTTGTTTCATTTAACATTCAATCATTCAATTACAAATTCATTAGACAAACAGCCAAAAATTCTCATCAAATCATAGAAAAATCATGATTTTTTACAATGGCTAAATAAAAAAAAGCCTAATTGTAATCAAAAATTGCATTGATCAGGTGAAAATGTGAATGAAAATATAGAAAAAAAACCTAGTTTCATTGTACCAAAAGCAAAAAAAAGTCGAAAGGATTTTGTGACCGATTTTTTTGACAAAATTCCCTAAAGGTTTACAATTTTTTATTTTTAGTAACTCGAAAATCTATAAAATTTGGTTGAAATCTTTCATAAAGCTACAAGAATCGAATCTGGCTTTTGACATTTGTAACTTGTACTCGAATGGAGCTTCAATTCGTGATCTATTTATTCTACGGAATCCCCTCAACTATTCTCAATTTCCTCCTAATCGCGAGCATTTGGCGGAGTCGAACGCTGTTGAAAAGCTCTTTTTATCGGGTTTATTTGTGGGTGCTGATTGTGGTGAGTTGAATGGGAGAGTATTGTAAGTAAGCTATTGAAAAGTTAAGTTTAATCTTTGCAATATGTGAATGTGCAAAATAGGCTTGATCGTAGGCTTGATCGATTCGGCAAAAAGTCTGATTTTTATACAGTGCGCTTCAAATTCTTAAACGCACCCTCTAAAATAGCGAATTTTGCATTTTGACCACCATTTTGAGCATGTCTTAAAACCTAAAAAAAACACGAAAAATAAGCATACTGTCAAAAGTAAAAATTTTCAAAATAAAACTTTTAAAACTTTTTGGTAAATCAACTTTTTCGTAGGTTTTAAGATGCTCTTTCTAATAGAAAAAGATTAATAGTTGTAGCGGTGGTCAAAATGCAAAATTCGCTATTTTAGAGGGTGCGTTTAAGAATTTGAAGCGCACTGTAGAATTGATTTTCTAGAATCTTTCTAAAAGCTATCAAAACATCTAGAATGGGTCTGTGATCTGTGCTAATTGATGAGAATTACTTTTTCTATCAAACTAAATGAAACAAGAGCCACAAAAAGCACTGCAAAGTGAATGGATACTTAAAATATTAGACTTGGTACTAAAAAATCATCTAGATAAGGTTTAAGAGTCTTGAATAGATAACCTAACACATCCTTTCTGGCATACTAATACCTTTTCAAGGTGATATAATAGTGTGTAAACTTGCGTTTTCTCACAAAGTACACTATTTTGTACACTATTTTACTAGCGCAAAGTACAGGGTGCACCAGAATTGTCGCAACAAGATAAAGTTCTGATTTTAAGGCAGACAAGAGCAAAAAGACAAATTTTTAACTGAATAACATTTATTGTACATTAACAATTATAAATGAACTATCAAATTAGAATCGGTCACCATTAGCATTTGAGCTGGCTCGCTTTTCGGGAAGGCGTCAACGGTGGCGATCCAAATGGGCTACATCGAGCTATTCCCATGCTTTTGATTTCTTCAAGCTTTCGATGCTTTTGTGGGAGCTTTAAACAAGCTTTGGCTTTGGCTTTGGCTTCTAGAACCGATCACACTGAAATTTCATTGGGTTGAGGACTGCAGAGCTAGGTGGCCACTCAGAAAAAGAAATGAAGTCCGGGAAGTTGTTTTGGCAGAACTCTTGGCCTTTCTGGGATTTGTGGGCCGGTTCGCCATCTTGCTGATAAATCCAAATGCGATTTCCAAAATTTTTACGAGCCCAGGGCAAGAGCCAGGTAGTTATCGGAATTGCGACAATTATGGCGCACCCTGTACCAGCCAATCCTGAATCACGTAGAAGCTTTATATCATACATTTCTAAGATGGCATAATAGTGTGTAAACTGGCGATTTCTTTGGCACAAAGTACACCAGAAAGCGCATGCTTCTATTTTACTAGCGCAAATTCCAAGCCAAAACTGAGCCATGTAAAAACTTGATTTCCTAAACGTTGATGAATTGAACTCATCAATGATCACCAATTTTCAGTACATAATCACTTACATCAACACGTATCTCACAACGAAACTCCCCGAGCTTTCCATCCTTTCTTCAATATTTGTTGGCATTGAGCACTCATTTCCGCCATACCGTATCCTTTACATGTACAAGCATGCGGGTTTCCATGCCGAGAACTGTGCCTTGATTCTGATGCATTTGAATCGCTTCACGAGTGTCTGGATGCCGATCACGCATAATCTGGTTGGTGTTAAATTGGTTTCTATGCAAATTCCATAGAGCTAGGTTGAATTTGATCTGCTGCTAGGGCCAACAAGCAGGTGAAAACTGAAAATAAGCCTAAAGTTGGCCTGAGAATCGCGTGATCTTTTACGTGATCTAAACTAACTTTTAGAGTCATGCTTGTAGAGGAATATTACATTGTAAACTATAGTTTATAATGTAATATTGTAACATTGTAAACTGCAGTTTACAAGTAAAATTTTCCAGATTTGGAAACCCCGAAACATCAATTTGGCCTTTCTCTTCATTTTCCTCTTTGCAAATGCGATCAACTTTCAAAATCTCCTAGTCACTGTGCCGATTTTTGTCGAATCTGGTGGATACGCTGTTTGGAACTTGGCACCACTTGCTGAGGTGAAATAAAAAAATTTATAAAATACTTATTCCCGTCATTCACTGTTAGGATAAATACGCTTTAATACAAGAAAAAAGAAAAAAAAACTCATGTGTATCGGAAAAAGAACCAATAATCTAGACAGCGTGATCTAGACAGCGGGATCTAGACAGCTAGATTGGATCTAGACCGCGGGATGATCTCCTAACTAAGATACAAAGCTCTTAGCGGGTCGGCCATAAGAAACAATGGTTAAGATTTTGGAGCAATAAATTGTATAAACTTAAGGCTTCAATGCTGAAGCATAAAACCTTGTAGCCTCAAAAAATTAAAACAGCAAAGCCACACTGTAGATAAAAAATAAGATTTAGATCAAAGACAAATAGTGTTTAGTTAGCAAAATCCTAACCTCATTACATGTTACAAGAAAATTCCTTCGATTAGCCAGCCCTAGCTTTGCCTTGGCTTTTGATTTAAGCCAATCTTTCGGCAATTTAGTGAAAAAGTCAGATCAAAAGAACCAAAGGAACCAAAAGAACAGTTAGATGAAAAGCCAGCGTAAACAATTAGTAAACACTTCAAATCACCTCAAATTTCAGCAAATCCCCTTCACGTGGTTGATGTTACGTGTTGCCGGATACGTGTATCCATTGCTTTCTTTACTAATTAATATCGGCATTTTCGCTAAACTCTTCATTCTGCGATTCTCGGGATCTAGGTAAAAGCTTGTCACAGTAATTGTCAACAAGCTCTTTTCAATTTCATCTTTAGTTTCACCACCGGCAACACAGTCGAAATCCACCTTCTATTGATCTGTGTGGCGAGTCTTTGTATGCAAATTGGGCTCATGGTTTTTGTGGTTGGTGATTTTTCTTCCTAGCTTTGCTTTGCTAAAAACAGTACTAGGATTCTATTGTCAAATTATGAAAAATCAAAAAACACTAGACAATTAAGAATTATAAGGATCAAGGATTAAACAGGATTCAATAAGGATTAAGCAAAAAGCTCAAGAAACTAATGATAAGAATCAAAACAAAGAAACAACAAAGAAAGAAGAAGAAGAAGAAGAAAAAGAAAGAATCAAGACAAAGAAAGGCTAAGGAATTATACCAGGAAGGTAATCAGTTCAAGTTTTGTTTTTCCTCCTTTCTTGACTTTGAAATCTTAGCCTAGTGGAATTTTAAAGTATTCCAAAACTCATGTCAAACCAATTGCAACAAGCTTTTGACACTTTTGACACTTTAGACTCGATCTTGATTTCACTGGCTTTTCTAAAAGTCCATGAATAGCTATTAGAAAAAGTATCAGCTTCTTTGAAAAAGTATTAACTTCTTCTTTCAGAAAATTCTTTCCCCTATGGCATTTATTTGACGCATAAATCTAGACAAAGATCTGTGCAAATTGATGATTTTTTTTTGTCTGGAACTCTTCAGTTGCAATCAGAAAGTCTTTTCTTTGAACTGAAAATCTTCTATTCTTCTATTATATTAGGTTGATGCATAAGTGTCTTTGTTCCTTTTCGTCTGCCGTTTCAAGCCAACAAATGCACCAATTAAACTACGGTTGATTTCATTAGAAAAACCAAGAAAAACCAACTCAACAATCCTGGTCCTGGCCAGACTTGTTCTAAGGTCAGACCTTGGTGGAACAAGTCTACTGTTACATCTGGCATTTGCCTAACATTTTGATCATTATCAGACCTAGTATCTATCATAATTTCTGTAGATCTTGTACCTATTTCAAAACTGTTTTTTTTTTCCAGGCAGATCAAGGTGGGCAACGCCAGCAGCCAGTGGCTTGGCTGGCTTGACCCTTAATAAGTACCTACCGTAAATACTCAAATATTAGGTTGATGCATAAGTCTTTTCTTCCTTTTCGTCTGCCGTTTCAAGCCAACAAATGCACGAATTAAACTACGGTTGATTTCATTAGAAAAAGCAATTATTTTTCTGCAAAATAACATTAAAACGGGTTTAAAAATATTTAATGCCTGGATTTTCTTGAGAGTATGAAGTCGGGTAGTCAAAAAGGGCTAACTCGATGATGCGGTTTAGACACCTTAGCTAAAGAAAACCTATCTTCGTGTCAATAGATAAAAGATAGAGAAAAAAACGTTTGATATTTCGCCAAAATTTCAGAGAAATTCATTCAGCCAATTTTTCCGTAGAGTTTTTTATAGATTTTTACGAAAAAGGCGTTTTTCACTCTCGAATTTGCTTGAAAGTGAACCGAAATTCATTTAAAAAGATGCAAATTGAACAAAAAAACACTTTTTTTATAGAGCAAACTATAGATTAATTGGTGAATTTGTTACTTTTTAACAGAAGTACGAAAAAAACGAAAAGACTTATGCATCAACCTATTATTATATTTAGCGAATCTTTCTTCTTTATAAGGTACAAACTTTTTTTCTAAACTTTCTAATCATTGAACTTTTTACTTTGAATTTTTTAATTACATTCGAAATATTCTCCAGAGTATTTGCTGTTCTCAAAAAAGAAATTTCAATTAAAACGAATTAGAAATGTCTCAAATAGTAGTTATTGTGATTAGAAACAAAATTTTACTCTAGAAAAACAGAGAATTTCTTTTTTTTCAGAATTACCTCTCTGTGCTGCTCTTTGGTGCTAAATATGCCTTTGCGGTGAGTTTTATGAATCAAAAACAACTTTATCGATTACAGTCAGAAATTTCTAGATTAGTTATAAAAATTCAATTAATATCAGATGTTTTTGGGCTCTTTCCCTGAATCGTGGTCTTTTAAAAGTTTCATGGTCTTTTAAAAGTTTCGTGGTCTTTTGGAAGTTTCGTTTATGAAAGAAAGCCTCTCGTTTATGCCGTGGCCACTTCAGGGGGCCGACATTGGGCGATATCACACAGAATTCCTCGTGGATAGGATACCGTCAAGTTGGTACCGTCAAGTTGGCAAGGATACCGTTAAGTTGGCAAGGATACCGTCAAGTTGGCAAGGATTTCTGTCTTGGCTGTATGTGAAGACCAGCTTTACAAGCATTTGCGTCTCCGAAGAAACGCAAGGCGGGCCAAACCTTGTGTTTTGCTGGGATGCTAAAATTGTTGTTCTTACGATTGTTCTTTAAATTCTGATTAAATGTGCATGTGGAACTTAAAAAAATAAGTGAAAACAATTTCAAAAGACTTTTTGGTAAAAAAATAACAAAGCAAAAGAACACGAAACTTTCAAAAGACCACTAGACTTTCAAAAGACCACGAAACTTTCAAAAGACCACAATTCAGGGAAAGCGCCTGTCTTTGTTTTGTTTTGCATTGATTGGGTTTCTGAGGGCCTTGATTGGTTAAACAAGAAGTAGAGAACCAAACGATCTGGCTTGAGCGTTTGTTTCTTTATTTTCTTAGGAATGTGTGATACAATCAAATCTAAAGCATAGATAATTCTGAAACCTGAAACTCAGAGAGCATAGATAATAATAACAGGCAAGAGTCAACAGCAATGTAAGGACAAAACTAAACTTGAACTTGCAAAAGCATGATAGCAAACAATGAAAGATTTCTTGATCTTGACCAAGATTTGAGCATTTCCTTTTCCAGCTCAACATTGTCTCCGATTTCTCTACTCTCAGCGAGGCCTATTTCGGGCTTTGTCTCAACGAAACCCTCCGTCAAAAGCTTTTCCGTATGATTTTTCGTTCGTTTCTCACCTCCCCAGCCCAATACCAATCTTCGAATGTTCTCTTTCAACGTTCCCCCTCGTCAAGTAAACGGCATAACCATTTACCATCATTATCAAAATAATCAGTGGAGGTTCTGATCCAGTGTATTGTAATGATCTAGAAATCCGTCCGATCTAGACTGATTCTAGATCGGACTTCCGATCTAGAGCGAAGTGAAGTCAAACGTCGGATCTAGAATCAAGCCGATCTCCGGTCAAGCCTCCGATCAAGCCTCCGATCAAGCTTCCGATCAAGCCTCCGATCAAGCCAATCCGATCCTTGACCTCACTCTAGATCAGACTTCCGATCTAGAATCAGTCTAGATCTGACGAGTTTCTAGATCGTAGGTATCATGTATAGTTTTTTGGATTCAGTTTACACTGACTTGTAGGACTTGATTGCTCAAATTCCCTTTGTCCATGTTTAAATACTCACTTTACATTCGAACATCCCGGACCCCGAGCGATATGCGTAGTCGGCGGACTAGTCCGATCTGCCAAGTTAAGCAACACCGGCTCGTCGCCAGTTCGGATCGAGAGTTTTAAATTTCTTGTTTTTCCCTTTTCCCCTTTCTTTCGCTTTCAAATTCGTTTTTCAGGCAGTTTTGAGTATTTTAAATTTGAGTACATTTCATTGAATGAACTAAAATGTTTAGATGTGTTTATTATGTATAAAGCAAACAGTAATAGCACCAAATTTCTCATCAAGCCGAACAAATCAATTGTAAATGCACAAGAAACAAACAAAAGAAGACAAAACAAACAAAAAGAAAACTGATTTTTTCAGAAAATGACTGGATTGTGAATAGCTATACAATTTTTGACGGTTTAAGACTAAATCTTGCACATAAACTCTTTGCCTAAAGTATGTTTTTCGTAATTATTTGAGCTTACTTTGAGCTTACTTTGAGCTTACTATAAATTTTTTGTTTTGCTTAAGCTTGCTCATTTGGATCAACGCCTTTCAACTGAGCTTTCGTGACTTTAACTCTTCCGAAATCTCCCGCATAAACGTCGGCTCTTGATTGCATAAATTGACCGATCGAGCGAATCGTGAAATTGTTCAACGCCTCGTTTAACGCCTCTTGCTCTTCCTGAAAGTTGGGCTTTTTTAGTTTTTACTGCTACGGAAACTTTCTAATAGATAAATTGAGTAGTTTTTGTAGAATGTAGATGCTTAGCGCTAGCAGTGTTGAAAGGTAATCTTTCCGGGTCAGGCCTGGACCTAACTTGAGCTGATCTGGGATGGACTAGGCCACACCTTGGAACATCTTTTTCTAATGGATTGATTAAGTACGCAGTTTTAGTAACAAAGTTACATGAAGGTAAATATAAAAGCTTGCAAATAGCTACCATAAATTCTCTATAAGAAGCAAAATGATTGAAAAAATAATGAAAAATCGGTTTTTTTTTTGCCACTTTTCAATCATTTTTTTCTAAACACTGATTAATGCTAAAAAATCTGTGTTATATCTCAAAAGATTACCCATTTTCTCTACTTTAATTTGATATCTAAACCTAAAGAAACAAACGTACTGATGTCGAGATATGAGCATTTATTTGAGAGTAAACTTAGACTACACCACGCTCCAATGGGGGGCTTCTATTAAAGTATTAAAACTTTACGAGCACTTAGCCATGAATCTAATTGAACAAGGTTAACAAATATGGGTTAATCATTGCATATGATCCAAAATTTTATTGACAAGATGCTTTAAAATTACCACAGTGGCTCGGCTTCGAATCGATCCGGCTCGTCGGAGATGTCTCGATGGAGTCGGCGACGTTGATTCAAGATCCGATAAGCCGGTGGCTGTTGTCTGAAAGAATGATTAAACAAATTCTTATTACTAATAGTACTTGTCCATATGAAATTCCTTGAGAAATTCCTCTCTCGAGTTTCGGTGGACATTTGGCGCCAACCTAAAGAATTTTGCAGGTGATTCTGAATGAGCACTTTAAAGGGCAAATTTAGCATGACTACAAAGGATAGATCAAGTTTTTAAAGCTTTAAAAAGCACTGCACTAATACAAAGATATTCTGGTGTTTAAGATAACTTTTTAGTTTAGCAATGAGCAATGAAATTCATCAAGCATTTGGCTCTTCTCCAGATCTGTCGTGAGGCTGAGGCTTACTGTATCTCCAGTCAAAAATCACCATTTAAAAACCCCTCACCTTATCCTTTCGATTCCACATATCAAGCTTGTTCTCGAGTACTGTCAATGTACCAAACACTCCATTCTCCAACGACACATAGCTCATCCTGTTCACCACTTTGAACACTGGCAATCCCAAGAAGTACCAAATTTTCATTAATGGAGACCGCTAAAAGTTTTTTTTCCTTAAATCATTCAAAAGCTTTTTCTACCGGAACATTGTTTGGCATGAGATCGCCCAAACCGATTGCTGTGAGTGTAATGAATGAGAAGTAGACCGACGCCCAATAGCTCATCCCTGTACCCGGTTCATCACCCATTATATCATCGTATAGCCAGGTTAACAAGGCACAGAAAAACCAGTAGGCTGAAATTGATTGCTTATGAGAGGACGGTAGTTTTAGTGTAAAGTAAAAAGTCTCTCTGGTACCGTAACCGTTTCTATTTTTCAATATAAAATGGACATTTGATGCGCGCCCCGCCATTGGCAATCCAACTTTGAGCTCAAATTTCTTGGTGTTGGGCTGTCGAATTTAAATAGTTTTTGTACCAATTGACAGAGAAAGACTTGGCGCATCCAATGACACCAAAAATATTCAAATTGGATAGCCCACCTCCAAGATATTTGCGCTCAAAGTTGGATTGCCAATGGCGAAAGGGGCGGGGCGCTTATAAAAGGTCCCACAACCGGGCCCCCTTTACTATTGGCAGTCCAACTTTGAACTAAAATTTCTTGCTGTTTAGCTGTTCAATTGAAATACTTTATGTACCAATCAACGGAGAAAGACTTAGGGCATCTAATGATACCAAAAATATTCAAATTGGATAGCCCAACTCCAAGATATTTGCGCTCAAAGTTGGATTGCTTAATGGCAACGGGGCGTGGTGCGTATAAAAGATCCGAAAACCCTATGAAATGCCATTTTTGACTACGATATTACTATGCGATACTCAAAAAATCCCAAGAGTACGGTAGTGTACTATTTAATGGCGTAAAATAAAAACTTTGACTGAATCTCTGTGACTGTTTCTTTTGAACACTATGAAATGTCGTTGTAAATTGGATAGCCCTACACCAAGATATTTGCGCTCAAAGCTGGATTGCTTAATAGCAAAGGGGGTAGTACACTCTTGTAGTACAAGTATTTGTACTACAAGAGTGTTCTGTAGAGTACAAGTATTTGTACTATAAAAGTATTCTGTAGACTGATTAGTGCAAAATCAAAAGCAGATTTTAGCTGGTACCGCAACTGTTTTCTTGCATTTTTTGCATTTTTTAACAACATCCTACTCCCCAATTTCTGCTTTGATCTCTCACTTTTGCACCCACATTTTTCATCACGTCATTTCCCGATTTCTATCCATTTTCCCCAACGTGTTAGAGCAAAGAAATCTTTAGAAAAAAATAGTGATATCATTTTGAGAGATAAATTTATAGATAAAATCTTCCAAAGAGTCAGTTCAATAGAAAAATTCACCAAATTGGCGACTTGGCTTCACTCTTACCGTACTCAAAGTTTTCAATTTTCATTTAAACTCTTTTTTTCATGTCTTGTATATTCAAATGTTACGGTATTTCTAGGTACTAAAATAGGCTTTTTCACTTGAACCCTAGCTTTGTTCTCTCTAAGCTTTTTATGAACTTTTTTGACTTCTTGTACTTACACTATACGGACACTATAAGGTCAGTTACTATTTTTCTCAATCTACTCACCAAATACTGTTAATATTGCGAATTTCATCGGGAAAGCAATATCCTCGTCTTCTTTCGTGTCAACACCGCGAGCTTTCCTAAAGTAATACAACTTCAAGACATTCAAATTTGTACTCAATTTGGATGAGTTCAAAATTTACTGAGCTAAGCCTAAGCCTAAGCCTAAGCTTGAGCCTAAGCTTGAGCCTAAGCCTAAGCCTAAGCCTGAGCCTAAGCCTGAGCCTGAGCCTGAGCCTAAGCCTAAGCCTGAGCTCATTACCAGCTTTCATTGAACTCTTCATCACTCACCTCCATCGAATCAAAACTCTTGCATAAAGTTTTGTCAATCCGACGAGCATCCATTGTCCCAAATCACGGCAAACGATTGATGAGAACGGAACAAAGATGATACCATAAATGACTGTGAGAAAACGGCCGAGATCGGTTATCGGAGCAATCACACCTAAAATTTAAAGTTTTCGATCATTACCGTCTCGCATTCAATGACGATCAAAAAGCTATTCAGTATAAGCTAAACTGTGAATAAGCTACCGTAGTCTGGCCTAATTTCTTCTCGATTTAAGCCGTGTTTTTTTTGTACTTTTTCCACCCTTTTCTTCTTTAGATTTTTGTGAGAAAGTTTTCTTTATATTTTTGTCCATAAATCTGTTTGATTTTTGCCAGTTAACTAGTGTCATAAATTGCATTCTACCAAAAGCTTGGTTCTGTTCTGAAGGCTTAGAAATTACCCAGAAAATACACTCGAGAAAGGCAGGCAGGCCGGGAATCGAACCCACATCGCCCGCATCGCAGGCGAGCATTCTATTGTTTTTTACCAATCGGTTTTTACCAATCGGTTTTTACCAATCGATCCGTCTTGAATTCAGCTTCAAGATGAGCTATAAAACGTCAAAATTGGACAAATTTAAGGTACTCTCCCAAAAAATCGGAAAGGACTTTTCCATCAACCCAATAGTACCAAGCCTATCAAACATCTATCAGCAAAGATAAGCTGTGGCGAGCATTCTATCACTGAATCAACTGCGCCATGAACAATTACCAGTCAGTAAACCGGTCAGGCCAAGTCAAAATTAGATCAGATCCATTTATTGGTTGTAAAAGTCCTGTACTGTTCTTGAAAACCGCAAAAGTGCCCCACGAAAGTGTCCCACTAAAGTACTATTATTATATTGTTATATTATTATATTATTATATTATTATATTATTATTATATTATTTGAATAGTAATGTGAAATTAGTAATGTCTCGTAGTTTAACAATAACCATTCATATTGATTTCGTTGACCAGGCAACATTTTGTGTGGTTTAAAGAGTTTAACATTTTTTGTTTAGCTTTTCAAATGATTGAATTCAAAAAATCATGACTACTTTCTACCTTTACTTATCCAAAAACTACTTTTGAATTAGTTTTTGCTCATTTCTTAAACCTTACTGTAGTGATTATTGTTGGTTTAGATATAATCTCGCACAATAGGCGTTCGTCCACATACACTACTGGACAATGAAATATCATATTTAAAAAAAGATCGTCACTTTCGCGCGTCTATAACTCCCTTGTCTTTACCGTATTTCTAAATATTAATATTACCATTGTGTAGCCCTTGAAAAGAGCTTTCAGAAAATGTATAACACTAATAGTTTAAACTCAAAGACAAGGGAGTTACCGACGCGCGAAAGTGACGATCGTTTTTCAAATATCATATTTCATTGTCCAGTACTGTAGGTGCCTAGCTGGCCATTTTCATACGTGGCTATCTCGATCACGAGATCGTCACGACACTTACCGTATCCAACAGTCATGAAAATGTTCGTTGAGTAGAAAGTGGCTGACCAAAAGTTCCACAACATTTTCCCAGGATCTCCAGCTTTTTGAAAAGCCGATTGCTCGTATCGACCCTCGTCTTTCAGCAATTGTATGTAGGAGTCCTTAAATTTCAGCTCAACTCACAACTCTCTTCTCAAACCTTCAAGAATTGCTTGATTCCATCAATGTCAGAAAATGCTGTCTGATTCTCTTGAATTCCATCGTAAACCTCGGTGGCTAATGTGTTCAATCGCTCATCCAGCGCAGCCACATAGTCGGCTACTTGCTGAAGCGATATGGTTTGAAATTTGGCTTTTGCTCTACATAGTGTTTCTGGTTTTTGATTTACCGATAATCCCAAACCTTTGCTCTTTCTAGATCTAGAGCTTCCATTGAAAATCCTAGAAAATAGATTTGAGGGCAGGTTCAGGATCAGCTCGAAAAGCTGACTTACTATTTAGATGAGCTAGGCTAATTGTCCATGTTTCATTGCCGTATTTTTCTTAATAGTAGTGCACCCTAAGCATCGCCTAAATTGGACAGCGAAATCTCGAGAACCGCTTATCAGAACCTATCGATGTGCACTCGGAAAATGTAGCTGACGATGAGATCTTGCGAAATAGAGAATATGGGGAATAGAGTGCTGAGCTTCTGTAAAAACTTTGGAAACCGTAAAAGAGTCACCAACTCGGTTCGCTTGGGTGCACTACTATTAGAGAAAATACGGTAACCTATGCCCATTTTACTGGTAGAAGGCGAATTCCTCTCGCGTAAAAATTTTTGATTTTGAATCAAATAAGTTCTGTACCCATTTTTTGGTATCTTTTTCATCATGCTCTCTGACTTCTATTGACCGAAATAAATGGTAATTTGATGGAGCTAGATCTGGGGAATCTGGGTGGGGGAGAAGTAGTGATGGAGCTAGATCTGGGTGGGGGAGAAGTTTCCAATTTAGATTCTTGGTTGTAGAGCGCTTCATCCTGATCTTGTGGGGGAATAGATTGTTGAGCTTCTGTAAAAACCTTGGAAACCGTCAAATAGTCATCAACTCGGCTCAGCGCAGTGCAGTAGTAGGGAAAAATGCGGTAAAATGCTTTCCCCTACCTGATGTTCAAAGGGAGTTTCCGTGTAGTTAAACAGCGCTCCACCCAATAACGAGTAGAGAACCACCAAAGAAAACATGAAGAAATGCCTCAATCCAATATTCTTGTGATGATGGGCAAGCCAGTAGAACGAGTTCGCGAAACCTGAACTTGTCTTGGATAACCAATAGCTAACTGTAGCTAACTGCTAAATAGCTAACTGTAGAGTGTTTTTATCTCAAACAGTTCATTTCGAAAAACGTTGCAACTTTTGAAAGCTACGATACTCCAGTTACGGTACCGTAATCCAATTACGATAGCATAAAGCTACTCTATTTTTATTCAAATTCATCCACTTTTCTTCTCTTTCAGTATCCTAGATTAACCAAATTGAATAAAAATCTATGAACAAGATTACAGTAGTTTTCGAGACACGTTTAGGTTTGATTCTTTGCCTCTCCTGGACTAAAACCCAAGATTATAATAGCTTCCAAAAAAGTCAAGCTTTAGTTTTTAGTCAAAAACGGGGTGGCGCCGAACAAAAACAATTATCATCTCGCAATTTTTTGGCTATATTTTGGCTGTAGCTTCGCGAACTGGTTTAATCCTTTTTTAAAATGAAAATTGCGATAATTTTCTACAAAGAATTTCTTTCTACAAATCTTAGGATGCTTTGGAAATTTTTATTAAAGGCTTAGAAGATTCGGTGAAAACAACCTTTGGCACGCAACAGTAGCCATCTTTTTCTAATTCATTTTCAAACTGAAATCATTTTTCTTTTCTGTTTTTTGATAAATTTAAGCTTTAAGAGTAACATTTGGATGATTTTTTAAGTTAACTTTAAGATTAACCGATGAAATTTGCCTGTGTCAAGAAAAATTCAAGAAGCCGATTGCATTTTTTCGTCCAAAACTCATAAAAACACGAAATGGTTGAAGATTTTTGTTGAAAAACATTTGTTTTAAGCTTTTTAGTTAGAAAAGAGTCAAATAAACGGTGTTGTTGTTGTTAAAACGATGTTGTTGTTGTTAAAGTTGTTAAAATCTGTTCATGAAAAGCTGTAGATTGAGTTGCATCCAAAAAAAGTTGTTTTGGCCTTCTAAGCCTTTAATGAGAATCTCAAAACGATTCTACAATTTGTCTAAAGAAATTCTCGATAGAAAATCATTACAATTTTTATAGTAAAAAGGAATTAAACCGTTTCGCGAAGGTACAGCTAAGTTATAGCCGAAAAACAGTGGGGCAACGATTGACGATGCGGCCAACATCGTAAAACAAACGATTCTCATTCGATCCGGCAATTGGCAAAACCTTCGATCGATTGCTGAGTGTCGACTGTTTCCCGATTGAATGCTCGCTAAACTTTCGAAATTCCGGAAATTCCTCTAATCTATTCACCGATTTCGCATATCTCGAATAATCTTTTGATAATTGTTCGGGATTCGATTCATCGTGTCCGTATTTTTCGTGTACATTCCAGTCACAGTGTAGTGATTGTTTTCATAGTATCGGTCGATGGCTCTAAATACTTCTTTAACTTCTTTAACTTCTTTATACTTCTTTATACTTCTTTAACTTCTTTATACTTCTTTATACTTCTTTATACTTCTTTATACTTCTTTATACTTCATTAACTTCTTTATACTTCTTTATACTTTTTTTATACTTTTTAACTGCACTTTCCCACTACATTAAACTAGCTTTTTGGTCTAAAGTTAGTAATAGGAAATGGATTACCGTAAAAAAGCTACGGTACAGATTTTTCTCATTTTTTACCTATCATCGGCTTCTCTTTCATTTTGCACCGGCAATTTGTGAATAGTTGTCACCGCTGATCCAGGAATCGATGGGGTTCTGAACTTTTCAGAGTCGATTTTTTAACTAATATTTTATGAAATTTTATGAAATTTTTATATTTTCCAAGTATCCTTTACGATTAACTTCAACAAAAAACTACTTGCAAAGACTTTTTAAAATCAATAACGAAATCTCTATCCCAACCTGGATTCATCATCATTTTCATTCTCGGAGACTTTTCGCCTCCCATCCGAACCCTCAAAAGAAACTTGGCGAGCAAAAGAGTGTCTAAAATGTTTATGGACTTTGAAAGCTTTTTATTGGCTAACTTATTTTTGACAGAATGAGAAGTAAACTTAAGAGAAACTGAAGTTTAAAGATACTGTAGTCCAGTCTCATTTCCTGTAATTACAGGAAATGGCTGACGAGCTTTAGCAGATTTATCTAAACTCTAGTTTTATCCAATCTATCCACTTTTGGGTTGATTTTCAGCTGATTTAGAAGAATACAAAGAATATAGAAAAGGTAGATAGATTAGATAAAGTTAGAGACAATCTTTAAAGACTATGATAGCTTTAGAAAGCTTTAGCTTTAGAAAGTTCCCATGTTTTTTGATAGGTTTTGAATGATCTTGAAAACATTTTAGTTATGAATCCTTTGGATTTTTGGATTTTATAGAGCTTGGAACTTCACAATATCTTTCGTCTGACTAGAGATGCACACAGATTGATCACATTGTACCATTTTGATGATATTTCTACAATTTCTATGAGCAAATGTATGCTATGTTGTAAACAAAAAACCTCGCTGGCCTTGAAAATAGTTTTTAGTCATTTACAAAATGACAAAAAAGGTTTATCCGTGATCGAACTAGAAAGTAAAGAGCAAATCTCAGTATGCATTAGGCTTCACTAAGCATTAGGCTACAGGGAACTACAGGGAACTTTTGAGAGCAATTGATCATTAGAAGCTTCACGCAAATGCTATGCTTTGAATTCGAAATCATGCACTTTGAGGCCATTTTTCTCAACAATTTTCTCAACAATTCTGCCTTGTACACAAGAGATTTACTTTTTCAGATTCTGGAAATTTTTTCCAATAAAATGGATATTGTCGCTTGGCTAAAGGCGGTCAATCTTTGTACATTTCTATTGAAATCAACCAAAATATCAAAAGCCAACCAAAATCAAACAGAATCAAATCACCTTTCTAATATAAATACTCTTTTGTGCTTGCTGAAATGTTAATGAAAAGATTTTATTGGGTTGTCCAGTTATGAATGCGCGTTTTTTACTATTTTGCAAATTTCTCAAGATATCGAACAGATGTATTTGAGTGTTATATATCATTCGAAAGCTGAAGATCTCCTCTACATTTTGATATAAAAAGCTTTTGAATTTGTTCAGCTTTTGGGCAAATTGACTGCACAGAAGAAGAGGTCGTTTTCGAAAAAACCCCATTCCAGCTGAGCTATTCCTCAAGTTTTATGGTGTAAAATAACCGCCCAGAAAAGAAAAGAAAAGTAAAGATGCTCCGAGATTGTTATATTTTAAAAAAACTTGTATTGATATATCTATTGGCCAAACATCAAACGGTTAACTCAATTTGAGCGGAGTCAAAACTTGATCCAAAGGCACCCTTCCATTTTTTGGCCACCTCTTCTTCTGTGCAGCCAATTTGCCCAAAAGCTGAACAAATTCAAAAGCTTTTTATATCAAAATGTAGAGGAGATCTTCAGCTTATCTTGAGATATCTTGAGAAATTTGCAAAATAGTAAAAAACGCGCATTCATAACTGGACAACCCAATAAGATATAAGATTCAGTCAAACCTGGGTCCTAGTTGTAAAATACTGCTCTTCTTGACATTATCATGGACTTCAATCGATGTCTCTTCTTCAACTTTCACTCCTTTCACCTCAAATCTTGACATAGAAAAATGGAAATGTTGAAAAATCTTGAATTCTTGAAATCATTGTAACATTTCAATTTCATATAATCTTTTTTAACCTTTTTGAAAAATGTAAAAGTTCAAAGTGAATCAGGTTCTTTTGAAGAGAAAAAATGGTAAAAACGGTAAACTTTTCATTTTTCTTTTGAACTTATCAAAATTTCTTATAGATTTTTTCTGTTACCAACTTGTTCACTTGGAGCTTTGACCCTTTCCTTGTCCTTGACATTCTTTTCCTTTTCCATCATTTCCACATCTTGATCCCCTTCATCTGTATCCGTTGTCTCAATGTCTTGTTGGGGATCTTGTGGGGCGTGACTTCCTTCGAAAGAACTAGCTTCATCATCCAATTCCTCGGGAATCGGTGACGGTGGACGATGGAGAGGAACGATATTCTGGACGGTTGCAGCTCCACTCTTCACTCGATCCTAAAGTACTATTAAGTAATATACTATTAGGTAATATACTATTAGGTAATCTACTATTAGGTTGAGTACTATGTGTTGGCAAGCTTTCTTCGGTGACCTTTTTAGAAACGGTGGATCGACCAAAACACAAATGTTTTCTTGAAAAGCTCTATCTTTTTTTCTACAAAATGCTCCCCAAGTGTTTTAAAAAGCGCTTTTCTTGAGAAATTTCAGAAGAGACGAGAAGGCGAGTTGTCAAAATTAAAAAGAGATCCGGTTATGATCCGATTTGATCCCTTTCTTCTAAAGAAACCTATTTTAGTGTAAATAGAAAAAAGAAAGAATATAAAAAGTTAGGAGTATAGCCAAATTTTGAGAAAAACTCGTTCAACCGTTTTCTTTATCTTTCTCCTCTAAGAATTTGAAGATAAATGCGAGTTTTCTTGCGAATTTGCATCATTTTAGGCCAAGATTTCTTTTAAAATACCCAAAATTAAACGCTTAACAATTTCTATTTTTAGCAATCCAACGGAGAAAACTAGGTAATGAAAAAATAATGAGCAAGGGATACTAACAAATGGCACAAAATCTAACACAAATACTCACACAAAATAGCACTCAACCTAATAGTTAGATCTGCTTGCGAGTTAGTTTTTGGATCAAAACTGAGTCAACTAGAAACTTGTCATTTTTCGATTTTGATTAGAAATTGACCCGACTTAAGGCACAGGTCTACAGGGTACTGGAAAAGTTCTGTCTCCTTCTAAAAAAACCATTTTTACATTCTTTCAAGAACTTTCCAAGACTTAAAACCTACAAAATGAGATTTTTCAAGTATTTTTACGCTAGAAAATTGTTTAATATCTTCTATTTTACTCATATAGAAAATTTTAGTCACTAAAAACTTTTGAAAGTATCAAATTCTAATTTACTACATAGCTAGAAAGGTTATTTTGGCCTGCGACCTGAAATGTTGTCATAAAAAGTTCTATAAAAAATTTTTATTCAAGTAAAATGAAAGATATTAAACAATTTTCTAGCGTAAAAATACTTGAAAAATCTCATTTTGTAGGTTTTAAGTCTTGGAAAGTTCTTGAAAGATTATAAAAGTGGTTTTTTTAGAAGGAGACAGAACTTTTCCAGCACCCTGTAGGCCTATGCCTTAAGTCGGGCCAATTACTAATCAAAATCGAAAAGGACAAGTTTCTAGTTGACTCAGTTTTGATCCAAAAAGCTAAAAGAACGTAAAAGTGATCTTTTAGGAGAAAACGGAGGTTTTCACGCATCATGATGATGAGTTCTACATGTAGAACTTTTATGAGGGTTTACTCTACTCAAGCCTGTCACCAGTCTCCGTTTTGGAGATTTCGGCTGTTGCTTTTCGGATCCGATCGTACACAAATAGTGCAAATCCGTAAGGAGCAAGAACTTGACTACTTTAATCGGAAATTTTGAACCAAGAACACTCTTTTATACTATGATACGTTTCCAAGGCTCTCTGGGGGAAGATTTTTAATCACCAATGGTGATCAAGACAAGTTTGTCTCCATTTACTGTCTCAATTCTATGAAACAATCACCCATTGAACGTTTGATTTCATTTTCCCTGACTAAAGATCAAACGATATTCCATTTCTCTTCTCTCATTTTTCTCCACCAACCTTTTCTTCTTTTACGAGTCTCTCCATTCACTTTTCTTCTCTCTCACAATCCTCTTTCCTTTCCTTTTATCAAAGATGTCTGCTCGGGGATGATCGAGATGAATGACGCTTTTTGTGAGCAAATCGGGAAACTCAATATTATTTCATAACAGTTATTGTAAATGCTGAGCTCTAGCGATGTTTTCTCTGAAAGAAAAATCAAGAATAGATTTAAGAACTGAAATTTTCACAGATTTACACAAGGAGAAGATATCGCAAGTTTTACAAAAGCATGAGGAGAGAAAACAGAAATGAAGTGAAAGTGACACTAATTTCAGAGCCCATCTAGGTATTCTAGCTCTATTTCAATGGTGGATTGGGCACTAGTTGATCAGATCTCCCCATTGCATCAATCGGTTATATCCCTAAATTTGCATTTTGTAAAATTAGCATTGGAAAATGCTATTAAATTAGTTCTAGCTTTCAAAATTCGATTTAAAATAGTGAACAAATCAATTTGGGGAATGCAAGAGGGTTCCAAATTTTTCTGCAATGCTGGGTTTATACCCATTGGCAGATAAGACCGTCTATGGTTGCAATGGCCGACTGGTTAAGAGCCTTGTATCTTAGTCGAGAGTCAGTTGAGAGGGCAAGGGTTCAATCCCGCTCAACGCTTTTTTTTCCCTAAATTTAGGACTTATGGTTGTACTTTTGTATTATTTTTACCACATTATTCGTGTGAATAAATTAATTGCAAAAAGGAAGCAAAGACATAAACGATTTGATTCAATGCGGGGATATAACCGATAAGTACACGGATGCTTCACTCGGATGATAAGTACTAGAAGCTGCACAAATCGATGAAAGCCAGAACTTTCATCCAAGACTTTGGATGAAAGCTATTCTGTGGATAAGCTATTCTGTAGATAAGCTTTCAAATGAAATTTGGACTGTAGATTTGGAAACGCTAGTCAAACTCTAAATTCAGAAATCCCAACCGATGGCAATCTCTAGTTAACGGAGCTTATCTCTAGCTAACTGAGCTACAGCTAACTGAGCTACAGCTAACTGAGCTACAGCTAACTGAGCTACAGCTAACTGAGCTACAGCTAACTGAGCTACAGCTAACTGAGCTACAGCTAACTGAGCTACAGCTATTAGACAAAAAGAAGACAACAGATTTGAAAGTTTTAGTTCAAATCTTTGAAATCTATTGAATATCTTTTGGTTCATAAATCAAAATTTTACATTTTCCAATTTCTCTCACCTATTTTTAGCTTTCCCCCAAAAAACGGATGGTCAAACCATTTTTTTGAGACTTATCGCAGAACAATGAACTCCCGCGGACAAAATTGACGTCACAAAATCAGAGCACAGAAAATTGTTATGGGGAAAATCCAAAGATTGAAACGGATACTGATTTCGTCTTTAGCCCAAAGCCCAAGATCTTCTTTTGAACCTCGAATCGGAGCTTATTTTATCTACACTCATTTCGATTTTATGACCCTTTTTGGTGGATTTTGTTAAAAGACATTTATGGAAAGAATTCCAAAAGATTTGAGTCGAAATGGTCACATTTTTCGGGATGGTTTTGTTTCTTTTTCCAAACGATTTATTGCACGAACTCTCTTGGCGGAAAAGTGACGAGTTTCTAAAGGAAAATGTATGAAGTTTCGAAGAAAATGCGTACTTTTTGAGCAAAGAATTCGACTTTCGATAAAGTTTGCATCTTTGGATTAGAAGAAGTGAGAAGAAAGAGAAAAACAAAGCAAAAAAAGTTGTGACTCTAGAGTTTAGCTGTAACACGTGGGTTAATTGCCCGGAGAAAATTGCTCAATTACCTCTTCTTAATCAAGGTTTTGGATAATAAATCGTAATCCTGATATCTTTTAGCTTTTATATCCTTTTTCTTTCCTCTTTTATCTAAGATATCTTTTATCAAATCAATTATAATTTGTAGATAACGAAAGTTTTCAATAAATTAGTTAGATTTCCAGGATTCAAAGACAATTTCAGGTTTACGTGGTCGACTTGAACTTGTAAGAATTGAAAGTTCAAGGATTGTAAGAATTGAAAGTTTAAGAATTGCAAGAATTGAAAGTTCAAGAATTGCAAGAATTGCAAGGATTCTTGAGTTCAGGAATTGCAAGGATTCAAGAGTTCTTGCAAGAATTGCATTTAGGTATGCAAAACAGTAAGGCTAGTTCCTGTAAGGCAAAGCTAGAGCCAGGTAAGTCCGAGCGTGCCCACACTTTTATGTGTGCCAGGCTTACAGTGAAACTATACCAAGCAAAGCTTGAACCCAGCCTAGGAAAATCATTATGAAGACAGCTCTGGAGTAATTTCCTGATTTCTTTTCACAGTAAAACCAAACCAAGCTAAGGTCTAGCAACCAGGTCTAGCATTTAGTCTAGCATTTTCCTGAGAAAAATGCTTTTTTTCTCAGCCCTGCTAGTAATTTCTTGATTACTGTAACTCCATTCTTCAACTGATTACTGAGTACCGTAACTTACTTTAAATCCCATTGTTTATTTAAATTCAACAAACTGAAATCTGATGTGAAATTCGTGCAAAATCACATCAAAAAAACCACGTTTCCCTCACTTAAAACTTCATCGCAAATCTCAATTTTTGAACCGCAAACTTTCTCGTTTTTCTCTCATTTCCTTTGAATTTTTAAAGGGCAATAAAATGGGGATGAGATCTTTGAATGATATCATCCAAGAAAAAAAAAGTGATCTGATCACCAGAAAAGAGAGAGAGTTTTTCTCTCCGACTCGTTAAAATTGGAGAATTTTGTGCCGATTTCGGTCCGACGGGAAAAAGTACGATAAAATACTTCAAAAATTGTGCAAAGTTTTTGAAAAAATGACAAAAACGGGATATCTTCAAAACTGAAGAGGATGTTTTCGAAAGATTTTTGGATTTATTGTACTTTTGTTCTAAACTAGCTCGTCATTTTTTTGAAACAGTACATAAAGAATACTTGAGATTTTGAGCGGATTCAAATGAATTGCATTCAAATTGCGGATTCAAATGGGACAAGTTAAACGAATTTGTGAAAATCTGGTTTAGATTGAAGTGAATGAGCACAAAGAAAAAGCTTAAAAACGAGAATGCAGACGGAAAGTTGAATGCTATGTTGTACAGAACTTAAGATTGACTTGAAAACTTGAATATCTACTGAGATTTGCTAAGATTTCAAGGTACTTGTGCCTCTTAAGCTCACCACTTACATTTGGTTAAGAACATTTGCATTTTAACGGCTTCGGCTAGGAAGACATACCGTAAATACTGAATCGGATCCCACCCTAGAGGGGGAGGGAAAAAATAGTACCTCATGTGATCCAATTACAGTATTTACGGTAGGTAAGAAAAGGTCCAGGCAAAGGTTAGGACATAGGCTGAGTAAGAGCTTAATTCTATGCAAATTTGCGGCGTTATTGGAATAAATGTAAATTGGAGGGCGTAAGAGTCACAAGTCCCAATTTCAAAATTTCTTTCACTTTTCTAAAGGATTTCAAAGTTAATCCGATTCTTTGTCTTTTGAGATAAATCTCAATCTCAACTCGTAAATCTCAGTGACTCATTGCCAGTTTCCAATGGGAGAGAAGCGTCAGAGCAGTCCCGGCAAAAATCACTGGGTTTAACAAGCTTCTAAGATGCTAAATCAAGAATATCAAGAAGAAAGGAATAAAACAAAGACAATTAAACTTTAATATATTGTTAAACTTTGCTAACAATTAACTTTAATATATTGCTCTGTCAATTGTCAATTGCCAATAGCTCTGTCAATTGTCAATTGCTCTGTCAATTGTCAATAGCTCTGTCAATTGCCAATAGCTCTGTCAATTGCCAATAGCTCTGTCACTTGCTACTAGCTCTGTCAATTGTCAATAGCTCTGTCAATAGCCAATTGTTTCCTTCAATCCATCAATATTGTTTGTTTTTAAATTTTCAAAATCTTTAAAAAGAGAAATTTATGACTACCATCATCTAGAAAAATAAGATTTTCCTGCAATTTTCAATAAAATTATAAATTTTAAAGAACAATAAAATGAAGCCATCAAAAATTTGAGCATTTCATAGATTTGTTAAGTGAAAAGACTTGAAAAGCACAATTCCTCATATTATTCAAAACAAAACAAAGTAATCATTTAAAGTTCTCAAAAGTTGAAAAGATCTTCTCCCACTTTATCCCATCATTCATTCTTTTCCTTTGCAATATTGATTGATCTCAAAATCCACGCGATTTTCTATCAATATTTGTCAGAGATCACCTTTTTGTCTCAGCGATATCATTCTCCGTTTTTGAGAACAATATAAATTTCACACTTTTGATAGCAACTAAAAGTGAAAAATAGTTTTCCTTTTTCTCAAAACTTTCCATGGCATTTTGATTTGGTGATTTTTTTTTCAGAAATGAAGATAGTACTTATAATTCTTGGACCAGTTTGCAGTTCATAGAATTCTATGAACTGCAAACTGGTCTAAAGGCGGTTGACCAGGCCAGTTCATATCTACTATCTATGTCTACTATTTAAGATTGCGTTGATTGGGAATTGCCCTTAAACTAACTTCCACGACTAATATAGAATGCCGATTAGAATAAGTGTAATGTCGGGACTAATGCTTACTATTAGACTGATCTGGGCTTGTTAGATCTGACTCTTAGATCTGGCTTGTTAGAGCCTGGACTCCAAGGCAAACCTAGTCAAAATGTGTACAAAGATCGGGTCTAGCCTAGATTACCTAACTCTGGTTTAGGTCTAGCTTTAACTGGTCTGACTCTCGATTAAGATTAACATTGACTAACTAGAGAACATCGCCAGCTGCCCGTGAGCTTTTAAAACGAGACCAACGTAAATATTTTGCCTAAGAGAATACGCTTAAATCTATGCTAAAATGTATTTATTCACAAAAAACAAAAAAATCCTGTACAAATTTGCACAAATCTTTCACGCGAAATTCAACTCGGCAATCAATTTCCCTGAGAGACCGGTGAGATTTCGGAGAAGGCACAAAGTGATGAAGGCTTTACATAAAGTCCCGAAATTCTAAAAAAAAAATCAATAAATAATTCTTCTAAATTTTATTTATTTAAATCTAAATTCAAATGTTTTCATAAAAATCACCGTAAAAATCGGGCATAAACCAAAGATTTTGAGGATCCGCGTCTGCGCCAGCGACTCGTTTCCCGTTTTTGAGCAAACTCGCTGAAATGTTTTCGTAATTTTAAGCTTTTTATGGCTTAAAGCTATGCGTTGACAATTTGATTTCTAATTCTTTTTTTTTTGGCTATAAATCCTTTTCTGAAAGAGTTTGAGTCTGTGTTGGCAAGGCTTTTTTTCCTCTCCAAAATAGGCTAACAAGTTTCCAAGTTTCTTTAAAAATTTGGATCAATTAAACCCAAATTCCAATTAGTAGATTGGACAAAATGAATAGCTTCAATCGATTCCTCGATCCTGAAAACCCCCGCGTACAAATTTCCAGATAAATATCTTTTTTTTGTGCCATCTACAAAGCAAAAGAAAAGCCCAATACAAAAGGATCCACAATGTTCTTTGCGTGGCCGCGTAATCGCTTTCCATCTGGCAAACTGCTCCGATATAAAGTGCTTCCCTTTTATTTACTTTGTATTTATTTTGCTTTGCTTTTTGCTATGACTTGAGAGTTTTGTCTCTTGATGTCATGCCGTAAAGTTCAGAGTTGAGATCGAGTAAGTTTATCTCCTGCTTTACAGTGAATTTCCTATAATTTTGTAGAAGTTATTCAGCTATTAATGAAAATATCTTTTTAAAAACTTTCGAAAAACTGAAAATCTCAATTCCAAGTCTAATCTAAAAAGTCTTTTTCATATTCTAGACAAAATGATGAACAAATTCTGCCAAAATATTCGCTCTCTAATGCTTTTCATTCTTAGTGTTGGCTGTGCAGAAAAGTAGCTCTTTTCTGTGAAATCTTATTTAACGTTTTGATTTTGAATATCTCTGATTCTCCTGTCCTTCCTCTAAAGATCGTTTTGTGTGATAAAAGGGACGGAGGCCACTTTGTATTGCTTTTCTTTTGGCTTTCAAACACTGAGCCAACGATTGATTATATTTTATTGTATTTTCTCGCTAGATTAGTGATTGTGCTATATTCGGAATAAATTTCTAATAATCATTGCCCCATCGGTACCCCCTCACGCACTGCACATTTTGGAGCGCAGTCCGGGAATTATTCCACAGATTATCAGATTGTTTATTAAAATCCAAAGATTGAACAAATTTGCTTGGTTTTTCTTTTTGAATTACTCGGTGCAAAGATGCGATTTTGATTATGGTTTAGGTGAAAATTCAGCCGACTACAACACTCCATCTTTAAAGAAAAGAATTCATTTTGTTGGAAAGGGAAAAATCGAGAAAGGTTTCAATCTAATTCATCAATAGCTTCACTTAATTTAATAAATTGTCATCATTTTTCTCTGGATTTGAATATATTTCTTAGTTTTATTGTTTTTTTCAAGTAGATTTGTCATCTTATGTAGTGGATAATAATAGGTTGATGCATAAGTCTTTTCGTTTTTTTCGTACTTCTGTTAAAAAGTAACAAATTCACCAATTAATCTATAGTTTGCTCTATAAAAAAAGTGTTTTTTTGTTCAATTTGCATCTTTTTAAATGAATTTCGGTTCACTTTCAAGCAAATTCGAGAGTGAAAAACGCCTTTTTCGTAAAAATTTATAAAAAACTCTACGGAAAAATTGGCTGAATGAATTTCTCTGAAATTTTGGCGAAATATCAAACTTTTTTTTCTCTATCTTTTATCTATTGACACGAAGATAGGTTTTCTTTAGCTAAGGTGTCTAAACCGCATCATCGAGTTAGCCCTTTTTGACTACCCGACTTCATACTCTCAAGAAAATCCAGGCATTAAATATTTTTAAACCCGTTTTAATGTTATTTTGCAGAAAAATAATTGCTTTTTCTAATGAAATCAACCGTAGTTTAATTGGTGCATTTGTTGGCTTGAAACGGCAGACGAAAAGGAACAAAAACACTTATGCATCAACCTATTACATTGCAACGTATTATCCCATATTATACTGAACCAAGTTCTGCGCTTTTGGAATTACGCAACGCCTTGGGTAATTCCAAAGCGCAGAACTTGATTCAGTTCCTTTCAGCGCAACAAAAAAAACTATAATCAATAGCTTCACTACATTCAATAAATTGCCATCATTTTTTTCTTTAAATCTGAATATATTTCTTGTTTTTATTGTTTTTTTTCAAGTAGATTTGTCATCTTATGTAGTGAATAATACGTTGGGTAATTCCAAAGCGCAGAACTTGGTTCAGTTCCTTTAAGCGCAACAAAAAACTATAATCAGCCGACTTTTCAGCCGACTACAACACTCCATCATTAGAAAAAAGAATTCATTTGATTGAAAGGGGAAAAATCGAGGAGGTTTCAATCTAATTCATCAATAGCTTCACTTAATTCAATAAATTGTCATCATTTTTCTCTGGGTTTGAATATATTTCTTAGTTTTTTATTGTCTCTCCAAGTTAACCTTTGTAGATTTGTCATCTTCGTTGGGTAATTCCAAACCCAGAACTTGGATCACTTCCTTCAAGCGCAACAAAAAACTATAATCAGTATAGAGATTTCGGCGGTAAACGCTGGATTAACGCTTTGCATTGCCGGAAAGGATTTCGTCAATCGAATAGCCGGTAAGCTATTCGAAAACTTTGAATGTGTAACTAAAGAGTTATCTAAAAGACACCGATTTTAGGAAACTATCGTATTCAAACAGCCAGTTTAATCAGCTCACTTTTGGCCTTGTTTCCTCATCGAATGATATCAAAATTATCGAACGAATGAAAACCGGCGGCTTGTTTGTGGCAATGTTGTTTTAAAAGCAATTTTTTTGGGCTGACCTAGGCCAGGTCAGCCCTGCTTGAAACTTCCTGAGCCAGCCAGAAGCCAGACCTGAGCTCTGGCCTTGCTTTGACTGGCTTACAGGCTCCAAGAGTCCAATTGGAACAACGCCGGATTATGGTAGCTTTAGGTGTCTTCTAGAAAACGGATAAAAGACTGATTACATGATATTCTAGTCTGACTATCTATTTAGTTTATTGGACTTAGTTTTAAAAACATTTTCAGTTTTGTAGTTTCTTTATTGGTGAGCTTAATCTTGTAGCTAATCCTGTAGAACTTTGAAGAATATTCAACTTCAACTATGCGACTCAAGAGCTTAAAGATTTCAGCGCTTGAGTTCAGTATTCAGGATTCTAAATAATGCTTAATTATTAAAGCACGGAAAAGCATGATCATCTTTAACTAAAGTCTCAAATTGGGAAGGTGGATTCATAAAGAGCTACAGTCACAGGAATTTCACCCGGATCTACAAGGCAAACACTACAAGAAATCAGTTAGCCCTGAAATCAATTAGCTCTGAAATCAGTTGGCCCTGAAATCATTTAGTCCTGAAGATCTTGAGAATCACTTGAGATGCATAAATCAGACTTGTTCTAGGTTGTTTTTTGAATGCTTTGAACTTGAAATTTTCTAGCTATGTGTCCCTAACATTGCTTTTAATCAATTTTTATAGTTTCGAGCATTTTTGTGTGCCAAACTATGACTAAAACCAGCTAAATTTCGAATTTTGAAGCCCCTTTACATTTGAAATAAAACTCGAATCCATCTTTAAAGGGAAAATCTTTAAAGAAGTTCTCCGTTGAAAAGTTGTGCGAGTGTAAAAGTGATAAGGTTTTGCTTGGGAATGAAGGCAATTATTTCCTGGAGTTGTCGTTCACTCAAGTACAACTTTGTGGTGTAAATTTTCTCTATTTTCTCTTAAAGGGGGGGGGGGGATATTAATCGCGGCCGGGTGACGATAAAAATTTTTTTACGGCAACCACCTTTTTTTTATTTTAATATCGCTGATTCTACTATAAAAAGAATAAAAATCACCCGGCTAGAGTGATTTGATGGGTTTACAAATTTTTGGAGACACTGCAAGGCTTGGAGGAAAACAAGATCGTCACTCATCAGACACCTCAACTAAAAGGCACCTATTTGAGAAAACTAAAACCACAAGCGACCAGAAATGGAAAAAAGATCTAATTGTGTCAATCAAAGCGCTGAAGACGTCCTACGGTGGAGGAGATCCAGTCACTTCTGGTGAAGATGCGCTGGGAATTGATAAGATAGAAAGCCGATTTGAGGAACTGCTGTACTTGAGCGAAGATGAAAGTGAGCAAGAGGAAGAATTGTAGATTAACAATTTATTTTTATTGTTTTTTGTGCTTTTTATTTTGTTTTTAAATTTATCTGCAATTAAAACTCAATCGATCTAGACTGTGCTGAAGTGTCTGATGAGTGACGATCTTGTTTTTCTCCAAGCCTTGCAGTGTCTCCAAAAATTTGTAAACCCATCAAATCACACTAGCCGGGTGATTTTTATTCTTTTTATAGTAGAATCAGCGATATTAAAATAAAAAACAGGTGGTTGCCGTAAAAAAATTTTTATCGTCACCCGGCCGCGATTAATACCCCCCTTTAACCTTTTTGAAAATCTTTTCTGCAAACGAACCCAGGCCAGCAATTCCTCGTATTTTCGACGAGCCGCTCGAACGATCCGCGCATCGTTTTCGGGAAGACCGTGAGCTAAAATTGGCCTTTTCTAGTTATTTCTGATATATCGATGAATTTATTGATACTCAGCTCTCAGCCAATACAGGATATAGTGCCTCAACATCTTAATAGCTTCACAAGTTCGCACTATCAGTGGGATTGGTCCAAAGAATCAGACCAAGCCTGGCCTACTGGCTTTGGGATTTTACCAGCCCAGAAGCTTAAACAATTACTACCGTAATCTGGTTGCAAGTCTTATCTTGCTTTTGCTTATCTTTTATCCTACAAATCTACATTAGTTTCCTTTTGTTAGGATTATGATGGATACTGATAATACAAAATTAGATAAGCTATCAAAATAGTGCAATTTTTGCTCCCCGGCTTCGATTCCTCTCGCCGCCCTGCTTTTTACTTTTTTCTAAAACCTTCGCAAAACATTTTTTGGAGTTTCTAAAGTGTTTGCTTTCAGTTTTCAGCTTTTTGGTCTTTTTAAACTCATAAGATTTTAATGTTTTCCTTTAGATGAATCTTATGAGTCTTAAAGGAAAACTTTCAGGTTGTTGTTGGCCTGCTAAATGTAACTTTTCCCAGTTCTCCTGGAAAAAAAAAGAAAATAAAACTTTAAAAAAGCTGAAAGCAAACACTTTAGGAACTCCAAAAAATGTTTTGTAGAAGATTTACAAAAAAATTAAAAACTAGGACAACGAGAGGAATCGAACTCGGGAGCAAAAATTGCGCTATTTTGATAGGCTCACGGACTAAACCCTAGACCGCCGCTGTTTTTGTTCGTTTCGTGGCACCGATAGATAAGGTAAGAGTTTGCCAAAAATGACCAAACTTTTGCATGCGCTTTTCACATATTTTAACATTCCCTTTCCTTTCTCACTCCCAAAACTTTCCAGCTCCTGTTTATTCATAAATCTTGTGACTTGCATATCCACTATAAATCTCAAATAATACCCCGAAATTTCGGGATATTCCAGCGCTTTTAAACCATAATCCAGATCAGCTTTATGTTTTTTTCCTGCAAAATTTGGTGGGCTTAAGAAAATTGAAAAAATTGAATTTGAAATTGATCAATTTCCAAGATAGATTTATCGATTCAGTTATAAAAAACTTGCAATTTGAGAAGAGGATCACATTCTTCAGTAGCACAAACTCCTCGATGTCGAATGAAACGTCCCGGAAAATCTTGAGAATGTGATCGAAAATCAGCGAGTGCGCTTTCTCGAAAAACTTTGAATCCAAACTGAAAGCCTTTTGTAAAGTTGGAAAGATAAGAGTTGTATTGACAGTTTTTAGCTAGGGCACGTGTGCTAGAGAGCTTGCGTTTACTCGAACACAACGAAAGGATCTCATCATGTCGGCGCGTCTCTGTGCTCGAGCAGACGCACGTTTTCTGGCGCACTCGTATCATCTCATACAATAGATAAGCATTGCACTGATTCTTGTCCGGATTTTTAACTGTTGAATCACTTTTTCCTATCCCCAATCCGCTGTCTGTAGTTAAGAGTGATCATTTCCATTAAGAAAAACCTTTTTAATCATCTTTGCCAAGATTAAATTGCACTTTATGCGACTTTCTCCAAGACAAATTTCGTTCTTTTAACCAAGTACACCAAGAATTTGATGATGGCTTTAGTTTTTTTTAAATATCCCAGCGAAAAACTCATAAATCTGTGCACAAATTTCTCAGAGTACGGTAAGAACGATGGAAAATTGAATTGAGGATTCAATGGGGCTACAAAGGAGAATTGAAAATATAATTCTGGGAAAAGTGGAGTTTATTCAGCAAATAATGATTCAGTTGAGTCTTATTTGAAGATTAAAGCAAGGTAAGCTCGATAATCGCCATTTGCAAATGGAGGAGTTGAACTTGAATTGAACTTTAAACGAATAAACAGAATTGGCAAGAATTGCCGAACGTTTACGACAAATGTGTGTCATAGCTGTGGATGACGTTAGACAATTGGGATGCACTTATAGTCGAGCGTGGATTTTACTAGCTCTGTGGGAAGTAGTTGGCGTTTGAAAAATTGTAGAAAGCTAACAGCAGGTGATTGGACATTTGATACGCGCCCCGCCCCCTTTGCCATTAGCAACTCAACTTTGAGCTCAAATATCTTGGTGCTGGGTTATCCAATTTAAATATTCTTGGTATCATTGAATGTGCCAAGTCTTTCTCTGTCGATTAGTACAAAAACTATTTAAATTGAACAGCCCAACATCAAGAAATTTGAGCTCAAAATTGGATTGCTCATGGGAAAAGGGGCGGAGCGCGTCTCAAATGCTGTTAGCTCTCTAAAAATTTTTCAAACCAAGAATAATGATACCAAGAATATTTAAATTCGACAGCTCAACACCAAGATATTTGAGCTCAAAGTTGAGTTGCTAATGGCAAAGGGGACGGGGCGCGTATCAAATGTCCGATCACCTGCTGTTAGCTTTCTACAATTTTTCAAGAGCCAACTATTTTCCACAGAGCTAACAGAAGCCAAGCCTAACTATAAACCCAATTATGCATTTTCAAAACCCCAAAAAGTACCTTACGTTTTTACTAATCTTTCGGTGAGTGTCCTTCTCGCAGAGTCAGGTAGATTTGATAAGAACTAGAAACAAGACTACGGTGATTTTGAAAAGTTGTAGGAAAAGTTGGCACCCTTTCCCCATGGGCAATCTAATTTTGAGCTCAAATTTCTTCGTGTTCAGGTTCAATTTGAATAGTTTTTGTACCAATCGACAGAGAAAGACGCATCTAATGATAACAAAAATGTTTAAGAGTTCAAAAATCTTTTGAAAAGTTGACACGTTGTAGGAAGTGCGATTTATCAAGATGGATACCCTAGAATTCCCATAATATTCAACTATTATGGTTGTTTGATATATTGATCCTTTTTCCCGAATTTCTATAACTTATCCTCATCATATTATCGTATTACAGATAATCCTGTAGAAAAATGTAGACAGTCGGTAATTCTTCTCTTTTCCCATCCCAAAAAGAGCTCATCGCAAACTTAATGGAGTCGAAAAGAGAAAGGGGATGGAGAAGCAAATGGGAAAAGGAAATGAGAGACAATGAGAGAGAATTGATGCGTAACGAATCGAGGAGGGGAAACAGACAAACAAAGAAAACTGTGCGTCAGAAAAGTGATGTGCTCAAGTTTCGATCACAAAATAGATCACAGAGCTAAAACGTGACTAAAGCTACCGTAACTGTAAAGGAAAAGTACCATTTGAAAGAAGAGTTTTCCAATTTTCACATCCAACCCCCAAAAACACAGCTCAGCACTCAATTCTTTTCACCTTTCCCCCAATATGCAAATCGAGTAGGATTATGTAAATTTTGGTTGAAAAGTAACGATATTGTTTCGATTGGTCGAAAGATGGATTTTACCACCATTTTACCACTTCATTCAACATTTCAAAGTACAAATTCACCATAAATTCCCAATATATTTTTCGAAAACCCCTTTTAATGCTTTTGAATAAATCAACTCAACAAGTTCTATTTGTCAAATAATATTTTTGGGATTATGAAAAGCTTTTCAAAGAATTACCCACCCATCGTGATCTTTTCCCATCGTTTTCCCGTCGAAGAGATACCCCAATCCGATCGGCAACATCTCATAGCGGTGCTTGTGAGTGTGAAAAGCGACCAGCAAAGGGATCAACGAGTGAATCCCGCCACAACACACTCGGCTCTGTAAAGAAATCAAGATTTTTGTCGAGAATTGGGAACTTGTTTCGATTGATTGTTAAACGACTTGAGCCGGCCTACTTTTTGTGTGCAATGTTGTCCGTAATTCAGTTCAAGAACAAGGACAAGTAGATAAAAAGAAACACTTCAAATTTTTTCCCAAAGCCTGGTCTTACACAAACGAGTGCCAGTCTTTTTTACACTTTACTGTATAAAAACTACCAAGCTTTGATGGTCTATAACTTCACCCAGAGACATTATTATTGCCAAATTTTTATATCATTGTATAGAGGACATTTCAGGCTTTCGAATGACCCCAAGTACATCTTGATTGGATAATTCATTCTCATGAAAGCCAAGTAAAACTGCACCCGAGTTGGATTCGCCAAATTTGGTCAGAGTTGGCTTTGATTTTTCTGAACTGGATTATCCAAACAAACTCTCTTTGGTGCCATTAGAAAGGCTGAAGTGTCCTCGTGACAAAGATATAAAAAATTAACAATAACATTATCTCTGGACAAATTTATAGACATTTTGTGTGCAATGTTGTCCGTAAATCAGTTCAAGAACAAGAACAAGTAGATAAAAAGAAACACTTCAAAGTTTTCTCCAAAGCCTAGTCTTATAAGTTTTCTGTTTTAGTCTTACAGAAGTTTTAGTCTTACAAAAAGTCTTACGAGTGCCAGTCTTTTTACACTTTACTGTATAAAAACTACCACGAACTCCATGGGGAACAAGACAAGTTTTTCCTAATAGTAAGCTTGACTTCTTAAAGATACTTTAGCTGGAATAGCTGGGATTTTAGATAACTTTTAGCTTTATACTATTCTCAAATTGGATTACTGAAAGTGGGCCACTTGGTCTTTACGCTACCACTAAACTCGTGCCGTTTATCTCCCGAAATTGGCTCACCAGATTCCGGTGAATCTTAAATCTATGTTTATGTTCAGATTCGTTATTTAGAACGAAGTTTTTCAAAAAACTCAGTCAAATATCGTTGTGTCAGGAGCTATTCCAAACGGGAATTTCAATGCCACTTTTTGCAGGTCTGATCGTTGCTTTTGGCCTCAAAATGGATTTTAGAACAATCGAAAGGGTATGCAAATGCCACAAAATCAATTACAAGTACAGATTCTTTAAAGTAGTTAGCTTGAGGATCTTGAGGATCTTGAGAATCACTTGAGATGAATTCAGTTTCAATTTCAATTCAATCATTTCAATGCATAAATCAGACTTGTTATTTTTGAAGCTTTGAAGGTAAAAACGGCTGTTTTTGTTGCTTTTAAAGGCTTCAAACTTCAAATTTCCTAGCTATAAGTCGAATCTAGCATTGCTTTAAGTAATTTTCATAGTTCCGAACATGTTATATGCCTAACTATGACTAAAAATTCGTAAATCATCTAAATTTCGAATTTCGAAACCCCTTTAGAGTGAAATAAACCCATCTCAAGGATCCCTTTTGCTCAATCTAACTTTATAACAAAATAACTGCATTCTTCGGAAACGAATTCCCGTAGTTGAATTCCCATTCGACTTACTTGATGTGAAAAAATTCGATTTTGATTATGGTCTACAACTACAACAGCCGTCTACAACACTTCGTCTTTAAAGAAAAGAATTCATTTTGATTGAAAGGGAAAAATCGAGAGAGGTTTCAATCTATATTCATCAATAGCTTCACTTAATTCAATAAATTGTCATCATTTTTCTCTGGATTTGAATATATTTCTTGGTTTTTTATTGTCTCTCCAAGTTATCGATTATATTTTATTGTATTTTCTCGCTAGATTAGTAATTGTGCTATATTCGGAATAAATATCTAATAATCATTGCCCCATCGGTACCCTCTCACGCACTGCACATTTTGGTGCGCAGTCCGGGAATTATTCCACAGATTATCAAAATCAGATTATCAGATTGTTTATTAAAATCATCCAAAGATTGAACAAATTTGTTTGGTTTGTCTTTTTGAATTACTCGGTGCAAAAGTCCGATTTTGATTATGGTTTAGGTGAAAATTCAGCTGACTACAACACTTCGTATTTAGAGAAAAGAATTCATTTTGATTGAAAGGGAAAAATCGAGAAAGGTTTCAATTCTAATTCATCAATAGCTTCACTTAATTCAATAAATTGTCATCATTTTTCCCTGGGTTTGAATATATTTCTTGGTTTTTTATTGTCTCTCCAAGTTAACCTTTGTAGATTTGTCATCTTCGTTGGGTAATTCCAAACCCAGAACTTGGATCACTTCCTTCAAGCGCAACAAAAAACTATAATCAGCCGACTTTTCAGCCGACTACAACACTCCATCTTTAGAGAAAAGAATTCATTTGATTGAAAGGGAAAAATCGAGAAATGTTTCAATCTAATTCATCAATAGCTTCACTTAATTCAATAAATTGTCATCATTTTTCTCTGGATTTGAATATATTTCTTAGTTTTATTGTTTTTTTCAAGTAGATTTGTCATCTTATGTAGTGGATAATACGTTACAACGTATTATCCCGTATTATACTGAACCAAGTTCTGCGCTATGGAATTATAAATATAATTCCAAAGCGCAGAACTTGATTCAGTTCCTTTCAGCGCAACAAAAAAAAACTATAATCAGTATAGAGATTTTTGATGTGAATGTGAATTTGTGATGTAAAAATTACATGAATTCCTTAAATTTTTCAAAAAAACACAGCAAAGTAGAAAAATTTTTGGCTCTTTACTGAAATCCGAGCATTTTGAATGAGTGACCAAGCTTTGATGGTCTATAACTTTACCCAGAGACATTATTATTGCCAACTTTTTACATCATTGTATAGAGGACCTTTCAGGCTTTCGAATGACACCCAGTACAGTTTGATTGGATAAGTCATTCTCATGAAAGCCAACTAAAACTGCACCCGAGTTGGATTGACCATATTTGGTCAGAGTTGGCTTTGATTTTTCTGAACTGGATTATCCAAACAAACGCTCTTTGGTGCCATTAGAAAGCCTGAAATGTCCTCTATAAAATGATATAAAAAGTTGGCAATAATATTATCTCTGGGCGAAGTTCTAGACCATCAAAGCTTGGCTACTCATTCAAAATGTCTGATTTTTAAAGAAGGTCCGGATTCCAGCCATTTTTGACTGGTTTTAAAGTTTTTCTCCAACAACAAAGTGATTTGTTAGATTTTTGAAGCTTTGTACCATACGGTAATCTGTACAGTTTATGTAAAATTAGATCTCCTTTAATAGTGGCAAAATTAGATGTACTTTTATGAGTTTTAGGGCTTAAAAGACAGACAGATCCAGCTACTTTTGTGGACCAAACTAACCAGTCTGGATCAGTCCAAGCCCTTGGACTTGACCAAGACCTTGGTTCCGCTATCGTCATTCAGGCCTGGTAAGGACCAGAAAAAGAAAAAGCTCTTGAAAAGGCTCTGCCAATCACCCGCCCTCATTTCCAATATAAGGCCATTCGCCACTATTAATCCCAAATCATCGAAAGATGACTTCAAAAAACAAACCCGATTCGAGTGCGAAATATTCTGAATTTCGTCGATTTCCCTCATCCAATCCGCCATATAGAGCATCACTCGGGCACACCGACGAGCCATTGCATCCGGTGGGGTGAATGGGGAAAGTTTCGCGTCGGTGAAACCGGCCTGGGAATTGGAAATTGGATTAACATAGTCAAATAGTCAAATTGACTATCAATATCAGATATTAGAGGTGATATCTATAAAGAGATTAAGACGTCTGTTCGTCTGTCTGTCTGTCTGTCTGTCTGTCTGTCCGTCTGTCTGTCTGTCTGCGCTCGCAATGCGCCATCTATTAGAGCATGACCGAGTGGTTAACGCGCACGTCTCTCAAACGAACGGAAGAGAGAGGTCGCGGGTTCGACTCCTCACGCTGCCAATTCTTTTGCTTTTTCCTCCAAAAAAGCTTCTGGTATTAGATATTAAAGGTGATATATTAGGTTGACAAGAAAGTTCATAGAAAAAGTTTGCACGGTGTTTTCTCATAAACAAAGCCAAGCTGCACTCATTTTTTACGAGTAATTTTTTGGAGTCGACTTGTAAATAATAGAAGAAAATGTCCTTGAATTGATGGATTCGTTTTTAAGAAATTCCAGTCAAACTTTTTCTGAGAACTTCCTTTCCAACTTAATATAATATTGGAGAATAAAAGGAGATGAGGAATAAAAGCAGCGCTCAAGAAAACTTGAACGCCTTGGCGGCCTTCTTGGTTTAATTTACCATAGTATAATAGCAATAACTTTGCTCACAGTTTCCCAACGGATTACTTTCCAAAAATTTCTTTCTGGGAGTCGACTTGTGAATAATAGAACAAATGCTCTTGAATTGGTGGATTCGTTTTTAAAAAAATTCCAGTCAAACTTTTTTCCAACCTTTCCAATAGCTAGTCTATTGTAGATACGTTTAATCAAGTGTCGGGGTTAAACTAAGAAATTGTTGAAATTGTAAACTAAGAAAACTTGAACGCCCTGACGGCCTTCTTGGTTTAATTTACCATAGCATAATAGCAATAACTTTGCTCACAGTTTCCCAATGGATTACTCATCTTCAAATCAATATTTAGAACGAATCACTATTCAGGTTGTTCACTCCTCTATATTCGGTCAAAATTTGGGTTTTTAAGGTTTGATTTCAGCAATTAGTTGCTTTTGTCATTAGCGATTCAGGCAAAATGAGAAGCTGTGAATTTTTCTGACTAGAGCAATTTGTTTATGGTATCATCTTCACAAATGATAACGCAAAACAATTACTGTACTACTGTATTACTGTAAATGGCTGTAATTTCCAATTATCATACCCATTTGACTATGTCCTTTCGGTTCTGTTTCTGTAAAATCTCCCCACCGATATCCTCGGACAAACGAGTGTCGGCTCAGCCAGCAAGTCCGCGAAACTCAAGTCGAAATTGTACTTGAAAGTGAGCGAATTCATCGAATCATCGTTTTCCGTCTCATTGAGGCAAAATCTAAGCGAAAATTCGATTCGAATAGAATCCTCCGTACTTTTCCAAATCGATCAATTCTTTAATGATTACAGTCATTGATTGATCATCGGGCGGTTGCTTTGGAAGGGGATCATTCTGGATTTTGAGATAAGTCATTTTCTAAAAGACACTTATTATCAGAAAGCTAGCTATTGTTGCTTTTCTCGAAACAAATACTATAAACTGAATATTTTTTAAACCTCAATGACTTTTACGATAGCTATAAGTGGAGTGGATCCTCTCAGCTAATCCGTTCTCATCCAATCAGCCCAATTTTCTTATCATTCGATGAGGAATCACAAGGCCAAGCGAATGATAAAAAAAACTGGCGAATGATTACGGTAGTTTTTGTGCCCCTTTTAGAAAGCGTTCCCTAATATGCACCTGTATCGATGGCAAAGATGAGGCAATCGAAACACAAGATGATGAGGATGAAGAATCGACGGATTCCCCTCTTCCCTCTTTCACTCTCCAATAAACTTTCTTGCCTTGTCGCTGGAATTTCTCCTCGGCTCTTCTCCGTCGATTGCATCCCTCTCGTCGGCCAGTCACTACAAAAAACTACGGTAAAGTGGCGCGAAAAAGTCTGACTATGGCTCTTGATCATGTTTACTGCGCCCTACATTACCTAGCTGTATTACGGTAGGGGTTTGAAGCGTTTTTAGAAGCTACAGTACTCCCGTTATAGCGGGATTACGGTAGCTACAGTATTTCCCTAATCAATCGGATTACGGTAGGGCTTTGAAGCGTTTTTAGAAGCTGCCCCCTAACGGATTACGGTAACTTTTTTGTTTTCCAAAGCTACAGTACTCCTAGTTGTTTAACCAATAAAACAGCCGGATTACGGTAATTTTTGAATCTACAGCACTGCTTTGAAAGTTACTTTTCCCTAAAAAGGCTTATGATAGTTTTTTTTAAAGGATACGGATAAAAATGATTAAAAAAAACGATAAAAACATCATTTATAAAAGAATAAAACAAAAACTATATAGAGAATTAGAATTGGATAGTTTTCAGTTTGAATTCATAGGCAAATAGGTTATGAATCTAATCAAATGACTAACTGATATGAACTTTAAAAAGCTCATACGCTTTTTACGCTCATCGACATAACGCTCAATGATTGGGCTTCGTTTTTGAGCTTTTCAGCTTCAATTTCAAAATGAAGCCATTGAAAATTGAAATCTGTGACTTTTGACCTAAAGAATTACTCGATTGAAGTCAATTTTCGAAATCTTGGTCAATAAAGAAGTTCCGTGTTTTTGAAATTCACGAAAAAAAGCTGTATCCACTTCCAAAGATCCCAATTTACCCTCGAAAATGGTTTTCTTTTTCCGAATTCCAAGAAAACTAGCTGCAAGAGATTTGTAATGTTTGAAAAGATAAAAACGATGTTAATTGTATACCAAGATAACTTCGCTATTCACTTCAATTTCCCAAAAATCCAAGAACAAGAATGCTGTACTTGTACCAAAGAGCTGAAGTTTTGGGGGTGGGACAAATGCTACCTTTTTTTTGCGCACCTGGACATTTGCGCACCCTTTTTTTTGCTGGAAAAGGCCTTAGGAAAGGTCGTAGAGCTTCAAAAATGTTTTCATAGAAGGGAATCGTATGCGTAGATTCCGAATTTCGACAAATCAGATCTCGCTGACACGTCAAATTTGGGCTAAAAGGCAAAAACTACGCAACTTAACGCTTTTCCGCTTTTGACGTGTCAGCGAGGTCTGATTTGTCGAAATTCGGAATCTACGCATACGATTCCCTTAGAAGGAAATATTTTCGAAGCTCTACGACCTCTCCTAAGGCCTTTTCCAGCAAAAAAAAGGTGCGCAAATGTCCAGGTGCGCAAAAAAAGGTAGCATTTGTCCCACCCCCCCGAGCGACAAGTTATACACGACTCTTTCTTAAAGATATTAAACCGTTTAACGTTTAACTTCCCAAAAATCCAAGAACAAGAATACCGTACTTGTACCAAAGAGCTGGTACAAGTACGGTTTCAACAAAAGGAAACGAAATTCCCAATTACAATTTCATTCCAATTCTCTACAATCTAGTACAGAAAAAAAAGCTGAACTGTTTTACAATAAAGAAATGTGATTTTGGGCTGAATGATTCTTCTATTAGGGCTGAATGACTCTCTGACAATTTGCGAGGGTTGATTGTCTTTTGTCTTTACGACACTTGTCAACTTGTAAACGAAGGCTAACTTTTATGGAAAAATAGAAATATACCAATGCGAAAATAGGTCAAATCAATCATTTTTAATATGTTTTATGCATTTTGAAGCTAGCTACTGTCATAATTAAGAGATTTTCTTGATATTTTCTAAATACCATACACCTTTTTTCGATTAGCAAATTGCATTTTAATGCTCGTTTTATAAATTTTAAGCAGAGTAGCAAAATACTCGATTGATTAGTCAAATCTATCTTTTATAGAGTCTAAATTATCGCGCTAACTTACAATTAGATAAAGAATTTATATTTAGTACATACCGTAAATACTGTAATAGTACCCCATCCTCATAATGACGGTGCGGAGTGTTGTGTAGTCTAGCTTTGAACGAGTTTTTCTCGACACTGGTTTATGCTACGATGCGCGTTTAGGTATCAAAAAATAGCCCTGAATTTCAGCTATTTTTGATACCAAAGACGCATTTTTTGAAAGTACGGGCGCTTTGAAAAAAATGAAATACTAAAAAACTTGGCCTCTGGAAAATGGGTGGCTTCACTATTTTAGCTCTCCTAGCTTCATAATTGAGTTTTTCTTTTGTCACGCGACTGTACGAGGGCGGTGGGGTACTATTACAGTATTTACGGTAATTTTTATGTAATGATCTTTAATGATCCAGCACATAATCCAGCAATTTCTTTAATTTCTAACAATTTCCTATTTAAATAAATTGCGTCAAAATCATTTTAAAAGCTGTAAAACCTATGGTTTTTATAGTCGTTTAGCCGCTGAACAGTTGTTGCATATTAGATGATTATTAGACTAGAAAGATGATTATTTAAAGTCACCAACTTTCTGGCACCATTCCCACTTCGAGACACTTTGCATAGCGACATCCTTTGCACTTGTTAGAGGCTGAAAATGAAAGTACTTATTGATAGATTGAGTGCTTTTGTTTTAAGCATTTAGGTAGATATTTAACACACTGTATGGATAAGCAAGTATTTTAAATAGGATTGTTCTCGAGTTAGGCTAGGTTACGTTAGATCTGGTCTGATCTGAAGATCGAAGGACATTTTAGGCCAGGTCAAGTAAAAACAAACCAAGAGGCCATGTAATAAAGTAAAGAGAGGAATGTTAAAGAAAGATTTCTAGAGAGGAAATTGAACCCCCGATCTTTTTGCTTTCCGGGTTGATGCTCTAACTACTGAGCTATTCGGCATCTTCTTGCCAGAGAAGAAAGAGGGAATACAAGGGGAAGAGAAAGGAAGAAAGAGAAGGAAATAATACCCGGTTCTTCACAGCCATGAGCTGCTTGACGAGAACACAGGCATTAGTAATATAGTAAAGTGAGGAATGGTAAAGAAAGATTTCCGGAAAGAGTAAGACCTGGACTGCTGACCGATCCTAGTGTAGTCTTGCAGATACTGACTCTAAGCTGACTCTTGTCTTGAAGAGATCCGGATAGATTACTCACGAAACAACCCAGTCCAAATGATTATTTGGCACGAGTCTAATATGCTATGATGCTTTGAGTAGCCTGTTTGACGATTCTTTATGAATTGTTCTTTGTTTGAGCGAAAATGTTTCTAAATCCAGATAATGTTGAGTACAACTGTGCACTCAAAGTGTTACAAAATCCGAGTTTTTCTTAACTTACCCCAATTGAATGCACTTATTCTAGTGTGGCCTTGCAGACACTGACTCTGATCTGACTCTTGTCTTGACTAGATCTGGATAGATTCCTGTTAAAACAACCGAATTTTTCTTAACTTATCCCATTTGATTGCACTTATTCAAAGTCTTAAAGATACTATATTAGAGATTCTTTTGGGAGTCTGTTTATGTTTATGAAGTGATTTTAGTTTATTTTAGTTCAATAAATCTATAATTTTTCCAGATTTTTCGAAAAATTGTATGTTTAAGTTGGATTAAACTTTGGTTGTTTTTGAAAAAACATTATGTGACGATTTGGGAGAAACCTTTAGAGAAAAAGATAAATTATTGAACTCAAAGATAAATTTGTATTAAAAACATGTACTTTTTGCTTTTGTTAAAAGTCAAAACATTTTCAGGAATATTTTATTGTTTAAACTCACTGAAATGGCAACGTTCCACTTGACGACAACTTGGTTGATAACCCTTCGTGGCGGCACGGAGGAAGAAAATCTTGCAACTTCTAGAAAATGGAAAGACTAAGTCGGTAATCGAGACTAATTTGGGATCATTCAATATTGTTGAGCTAGCCAGGACCAAGTGAAAGGATTTTGAGACATTTGATAGACGCTCCACGCCCTTTGCCATTGGCAATCCAAATCTGAACTCAAATTTCTTGGTGTTGGACTGTTCAATATCAAATAATTTTTGTACTAATCGACAGAGAAAGACTTGGCGCCTCCAATGATATTAAGAATATCTCGATTGGACAACCCAACACCAAGGAATTTGAGCTCAAAGTTGGGTTGCTAATGGCAAAGGGGGCGGGGCGCATATAAAAGGTCCCACAACCCTGCCCCTTTTCCCATCGGCAATCCAACTTTGAACTCAAATTTCTTGGTTTTGGACTGTTCAATTCAAATAATTTTTGTACTACTCGACAGAGAAAGACTTGGCGCATCTAATGATATTAAGAATATTTAAATTGAACAGCTCAACACAAAGAAATTTGAGCGCAAAGTCAGATTACAGATGGGAAAAAGGCGGTATCAAATGTCCAATAACCAAGTCAGAGTCCAGTCAGGCCTGAATCTGACTTCTGGTAGAGTCTTGCCTGGTCAGCAGAATGCTTTTGACTAGGGTCAGGCAGTGAATGTATGACCAGTAAATGATTCTTTCTTTTCCTTACATAAGCTAGGCAAAACCTGGCTTTCACTGCTCCTGGCTTGTACAGGAAAGCCTGGAAATGAGTAAAGCATAAAGCCCTATCCTGGCCGCAATGGGATACGTGTCGGTGTAGCTCATTGGTAGAGCGTTCACCCAGTAAGTGTGAGGTCGCAGTTTCGAAACCCGGCGCCGACCAGCCCTAACCCAAAAAAAACCAGCGTGTTCAACTAATCCATCAAATCTAGTACAGCGAAGTCTCTTTTATAAACGAATTTTAACTTCAACTCGGTTTTTAGCACAAATTACGTTTGGGAAAATATTTGAAACAACAAGATTTGTGTAAACAAATAGCCTCGCTTATAGTTAGCACAAATTAAAATATCCTGGGCAAATCCAGGCTAAGCTAGGACGAAAATTTAAAACCAACGAGCAGCAAATTCCTCCATAATTGTTTCGTGCCGGAGTCTTTGAGCAAACGGTGCACATCGTTGATGAGGATTCAGCTGTATTAATCGATCCACCCGATGATCCCTCGCGATCCCATCGAGATGGAGAACCTGTAGTGAGACAAGAAGTTAAGACAATCTCTTAATGTTAAGATCTTACAATCTTAAGGTTTTTCTCAACTAGTGCGCTTTCTAAAACGTGTTGACTTTCAAGAACCGTCTGCCTCTAATCTACAGTCGAACTTCGATACAACGAAACGTTCGATATAACAAACATTAGTTTTGGTCTTAACGAAGGGCCTTACCTCAAAATAACCTTCAATATAACGAACTTTTTGGCCGATTCCTTGAGATTTGTTATATCGAAGCTCGACTGTATCGAAGCTCGACTGTATCAAAGTTCGTTATCTTCAGTTTTATGAACCCAGAGGCAGAAGAAAAGTAAAAGAAATTGGATAAAAACTAGAACGAGAAATTACGAGTACTCCTACGGATTCTGGAGTCTCGAGTACTGTTTTCCTAAAACGTTTCAACTTCTAAAAACTATTTGGTTCTAGTTTTTAGAAGTCCGTAGGAGTACTCGTAATTTCTCGTCTACCTGGATGTGGTGACGATGACGGACTTTCACCTCCACCACAGCCACCTTCGCTGTCACCACGTAAGGACATTTTTCTGGAAGATGACAGTAGGGTCACGTTTGAAAATGAGAATTAAAATAAATGGCTATATCCAATGGGATGCACCGAATGCAATGGGATGAAACAATGTGCGGATTCAGACTAGCCCAAGAGCTGTATCTTAAGCTGTATCTTAAGCTGTATCTTAAGAAGACACAGGCTGTATCTCGAGCCTTCGCAGTCAACCTTAAGTTTCGCTGACCCACAGGCAATCCTCTAGGTGTTAATAGGCCTCCAGAACGGACTGGTTTCGTCAACACGCTTGCATATAACATTCTTGCAAAGTTTGCATAACCTTTGAGAGAATCTATTGAAATCTATTGAATTGAATTGAAATTGAAATTGAATTTTGAAATTCAAAAATTGAAAATCTATTGAAAAGAACCTAAATTTTGTGAAAACATTTGTGAAAACGCTCGCTTAACTAGATTAACTAGTACAAATTAACTAGTAAACTAAGCAACAATTAACTAGTAAACTAAGCAACAATCCTAATCTTTGAAGTCATAAAATCTGGGGACAAAAGATAAACACAACTTATTGAAGAAGAAATCAGGGAATTTTTAGAACAAGTACATGAAACACAAAACTGTCGGCGAGTTTCGGCCGACAGTTTTGTGTTTTTGTTGTGTTTCTGGTGGAAAATCGGAATCACCAACTAATCGTAGGTACAAAGTTCGACCGACAATTCGTTCCTTGTAGATCCAATGTGGGAATTTCAGCCCCAAGATTGAAGCTAAAGCCTGTTGGAATAAGTTCTAGAAATCGGATAATTGGAATAAGTTCTAGAAAATCCTTTCAATTCGAGATATATCATTTGAACTAAGTAATCTAAAAAAAAGCTAAAAAGGAATAGAAAACTAGACGGATTTTGAAAACAGAAAAACTTTGAACTCTAGGCCAAAATCGAGAAAACAAGCTAATCTATGTAAAAAGTAAGCAAAAAAAAAAACCAGACGAATACCCGAAAATCTTTGTGTGGCTAACAAGTGAATGACACAGTTCAGAAAAGTTCTCATTGCATTGCATTGCAATTGCAATTCTCAAAATAGTTCATCGCTTTCAGACTTATGAACTTTAAAATGCAAAGAACAACGCAAAAATTTGCGTTTTTTTACGCAAACAAGCTTTGTTTTACGAAAAACACTTCTTTTGTTACCAGAGTCATGAACTAATGATGCATTTGAGAATTTCAAGTTTTACGAACACCGTTAGAAGCTGCATAAAACATAAATATTGAATGCAAAAAAGCTAAGAAAAAGAATTGGCCAGAAGAGGGCTCGAACCCAAGCCAAAGAACTTGATAGCTCGATACTAGCATTCGATACTCGAGCTCGATAGGCTAGCACACTAACCGCTCAATAGGCTAGCACACTAACCGCTCGATAGGCTAGCACACTAACCGCTAGACGACTTTCAACAGCTTCAGGGCTGAAGCTGTTGAAAGCCTTCTGAAGACTCGGTCATGAAGCAATTCTGTACTTTGATCTGGTGTCATTCCCTTGTAGGTTCGAGTCGGGTATAAAGCCTCTTCAAAGACCAGGGTTGTCCTCAAACTTTATAGACACAAAGCACTGAGTTCTCATGAGGGAAATGGGCGCTGGTCTTGATGTTGTCCTTTTCTTGAGCATAATTGGAAACGGGAAATCGAGTAGAAAGGGGAAAAGACGGTGATTTCAATGGACAAAGGGGGGAATTTCGGAGTTCGTGGGTGGGTGAATGGATTTGGTTCGAGTCAGAACAATCCGCAGAATCAAAAATGTGCTCAAACTCAATTGGGAATGACTTTGAACGGCTCAGCGCTTGAGTCGTTGGACATAATGCTTCAAAAATCGTTACAAAACTTTCTATTTATAGATTGGATTGAGTAGAAGTGAAGCGAACCTTCTGAGCTAACAGCTAAGCTAACAAGTCTTCAAATCTTCGAACAAGGATGTTTCAATCGATCGCTAACAGGCCAGTTCAGATCCGGGATTGTGGGACATTTGATACCACTGACAATCCAACTTTGAACTCAAATTTCTTGGTGTTGGACTGTTCTATTCAAATACTTTTTTTACCAATCGACAGAGAAAGACTTGGCGTATCCAATGATATTAAGAATATTTAAATTGAACAGCCCAACACAAAGAAATTTGAGCTCAAAGTCAGATTACCGATGGGAAAAGGGGCGGGGCGCGTATCAAATGTCCGATAACCCAGATCCGGTTCAGACCTGGATTCTGACAAGTCTAGGGCTTAAGATTAAAGATATCCAAATGTGGTTTATTCAGCACAATAATCACAATTTGCAGAATACTAGGCTATATCTTAACCTAACCCACGCCTATATTCTCGCCTCCCTACTCTTATTGAACGATCCCGAGATAGCTTATTCTGACACTGAAGAGAAGGCGAAGACGGCTGGAAAGGCTTCTCGCATTAAGGAAGTGGGCCATGAACGGGAGGCGGACTCAAACTCGGATCACTAATTCCATAGACAACCACACGGGCGTTTCGTCACCGCGGCGCCGGATTACACTAAAGTTCCATGCCGGGTCTACTCTTTGAAAAAAAAACCTTGCAACAACCCTTTGTCCCACAAGAAACAGTATTTCGAGGGTATACCATAAGTAAAACTTATCTTGAAGCAAGTTAAAGTAAAGAAATGAATGGCAAAGTATTTGGAATCGAGCAGGATTTGAACCGCCGACCTTCTGTTTACCGGGCAGATGCTCTATCACTGAACTATGCCCTTCTTTCCCCAAGAAGAAATAGAAAAGACAAGGAAGAAGAAAGAAAGGAAGAAGGTCAAAATTAGAGTCAATGTTGACATGTCTTTAGCCAACAGTTATCAATGATTTTCGTTTATTTTGCCATTTATCTAATGAAAGAAGGAGTTTCTTTCATAACAGAAAATCTTTTGAATCATTACAATGTTGATAAAACAATAAATGTAAAATAGAACTAGTTGATCTAAAAATTAGCTTACAAAGTGAACTCTTTGCATATGTTGAAGAGCTTAAGTGATTTGAGCTTAAGTGATTTGAGTTTGTTGCTAAAAGACATCAAGTTTCATAACCCCAATTTGATTTGATTTGATTTAATTTGATTTAATTTGATTCATTACCCAATTTGATAGGATTATGTGGGAATTTTTACAGTAATTTACAGTAAATTACCGTATTTCTTCGAATAGAATACCGGGTAAAGAGTATCATCGCGTACTCCTGCGTAGAAGCCCTTTTTCAAATTTCTTTCTGCATAAAAGCTTTCAATGAAGTACTATAGAGCTGGAAAATGGCTCAAAAATCTGTTAGTTAATGTGGTACTTTTGAGTCATTTTCCAGCCCTATAGCACTTCATTGAAAGCTTTTATGCAGAAAAGAAATTTTAAAAAAGGCTGCTACGCAGGAGCACGCGATGATACTCTTTACCCGGTCTTCTATTCGAAGAAATACGGTAAATTGACAGTAATTAAGGGATATTCAGGGTTTTTTTTTTCAGGAATTCAAAAGAATTTTAGATGAAAGAAAAAAGAATTCATGAAAGGATTCAAGGAAATAATTCGAAAATGGCGAGAATTGTGGACTAAGAAGATCGTGGATTGATTCTCTCACCTTTTAACAAAATGACTCTTTCTCGAACAAGCAAATCCGAATATTGCAAAAGTAAAAGAGAAGCAGAGAAAAGAGGGAAAAAGAATCGGTGTTTTTTTCCCTTTTAAATGGGACAACAAGTTCTCTTTTCGGTCTTCACTGCGAAATACGGTAATCGACGAAAGGAGAGCAATACAAATCCGCTAAAATGCGCGAGAGATGTTGGGTTTTAGAAGAAGAAAAACTCTCCACAGTAACTCGGAAAGGAGAAAAGGGGGAAATCGGTGATAAATAGTGTACAAACTGAACTTTTCCCCGCTTTCTCGTGGCTTTTCCCAGCCGTGCCCCCAATTAGCGCAAAATGATTGCTGGGGATTTCTTCCTAAGAAGGCCAAACGAGTCTTTTTGTACCCAAAAGAATTGTTTTCATAAGAATAATGTACTTTAGCTTGAAATTCTTGTAAAATTTTAGATAGCTTTTGAAAAAGGGAGATATTTGGCGGGGAAATTTTGACTTTTATCAGGTTTATCATCAGGAAACTGATGCTGGAAAGTGTTAAAATTTATTTTTTGCATCGATCAAGTCCGATTGAATACCGTAAAAGTTATAACTTTTGAAAAGTTTAAACATTTTTGAGAATTCAAAGAGTTTTCTGATCATTTGAGCTGACTAGAGTCAATAAAAACGCTTCAAAAAAGGCTTTTGAGTCTCAAGAACTTGCAGTTTGACTTGAAAAGCTTTAAAAAGCTGATTGAATTCTCAAAATTTGAGGAAAATTATAGAAAAGTTATTGAATTTTATCGAATTTTATCGAATTTTATTGAATTTTATTGAATTTTATTGAATTTTATTGAATTTTTCTTATAAAATGCTTGAATAAAGTCATTTTTTTCAATTCAGGAATGGCAAAACGACACAAAACTTGTAAAGAAATGGATAAAAGGTTGATTTTGATAAAAATCTTGATAAAATTCTAAGTACATTACATCTTAAAGCTTTTAAAATCAAAATTTTAAACGTTTTTTAAAAGATCTTTTATGAAAACTGATTGTTTTTTGATCTAAAATCGTTTAAAATAAAGTTTTCTGAAATTTCAAAGAAAACTTTGAAATGTTTTTAGAGGAGAAGTTTTTCGCGTTTTTAACTTAACAAATGCGATTGTTTTTTTGCTAAAAACTCTACAGAATAACCGTGAAAATCAAAAAAATGAAGCAAAATTCACGTAGAATCCTTTAAGTACGCCGAAATTTGCTACTTTTTGTGCTCTTGTGCTTTTTTCACTCAAATTTCTCTACGTTGTACCTCGGATAATTGCCCGAGGCCAATTTTCAGTCAAAGTTTCCCTCTTTCTTCTTTTCCTGGACTATAATTGAAATATTATTTTCACACACACACATTCTCAAATTAAGAAA